TGAAATTTTTCATAAAAATCTCATTTTGCCAAATTTTGCTAAAAATGCAAGGTTAACCCCTAGCCTTTCAATCTGCAATTTTCTAGAAACTTCTGATTTTGCCCTAATTTGGCAAAGGTTAACCCCTTACAATTTTTGATTTTACATACAAATCTGATTTAGCCCAATTTTTTTCATAAACACCTGATTTTGCCCTATTTTGCTAAAAAAATGCAAGGTTAACCCCTAACAATTTGAAAAGCAAGGTTAACCCCTTACATCTGAAATTTTTCAGAAACATCTCAGTTTGCCCAATTTTGCTAAAAATGCAAGGTTCACCCCTTACGATTCGAGATTTTTCATAAAAATCTGATATTGCCAAGATTTGCTAAAAATGCCAAGTTAACCCCATACAATTCTGCAATTTTCCGAAAACATCTGATTTTTCCCAATTTCGTTTACAACAATGCAGGGTTAACCCCTTACAATTTGAAATTTTTCATAAACATCCAACTTTGCCAAATGTCACTAAAAAAGCAAAGTTAACCCCTTTCAATCTGCAATTTTCCAGAAACATCTGATTTTGCTCTAATTTGGCAAGGTTAACCCCTTACAATTTTTGATTTTTCATACAAATCTGACTTTGCCCAATTTTTCTAAAAATGCAAAGTTAACCCCTTACAATTTGAAAGTTTCATCCACATCTTATTTTGCCAAATTTCACTAAAAAAACAAGGTTAACCCCTTACAATCTGAAATTTTCCAGAAAGATCTGATGTTGCCCAATTTCGCTAAAATATGCAAGGTTCACCCCTTACAATCTGAAATTTTCCAGAAAGATCTGATTTTGCCCAATTTCGCTAAAATATGCAAGGTTCACCCCTTACAATTTGAAATGTTTCATAAACATTAAAATTTTTCCCAATTTTGCTAAAAATGCAAGGTGAACCACTTACAATTTGAAATTTGTCAAAAACATCTAATTTTGCCAAATTTCACTTAAAAAAGTAAGGTTAATTCCTTACCTCGGATGTTTTTTTCAGAAACATCTGATTTTGCCCAATTGTGCTAAGGTTTGCAAGGTTAACCCCTTTCAATCTGCAATTTTCTAGAAACTTCTGATTTTGCCCTAATTTGGCAAAGGTTAACCCCTTACAATTTTTGATTTTTCATACAAATCTGATTTAGCCCAATTTTGCTAAAAATGCGAGGTTAACCCCTTTCAATCTGCAATTTTTTCATGAACACCTGATTTTGCCCTAATTTGGCAAAGGTTAACCCCTTACAATTTGAAATTTTTTCATAAAAATCTCATTTTGCCAAATTTTGCTAAATGCAAGGTTAACCCCTAGCCTTTCAATCTGCAATTTTCTAGAAACTTCTGATTTTGCCCTAATTTGGCAAAGGTTAACCCCTTACAATTTTTGATTTTACATACAAATCTGATTTAGCCCAATTTTTTTCATAAACACCTGATTTTGCCCTATTTTGCTAAAAAAATGCAAGGTTAACCCCTAACAATTTGAAAAGCAAGGTTAACCCCTTACATCTGAAATTTTTCAGAAACATCTCAGTTTGCCCAATTTTGCTAAAAATGCAAGGTTCACCCCTTACGATTCGAGATTTTTCATAAAAATCTGATATTGCCCAGATTTGCTAAAAATGCCAAGTTAACCCCATACAATTCTGCAATTTTCCGAAAACATCTGATTTTTCCCAATTTCGTTTACAGCAATGCAGGGTTAACCCCTTACAATTTGAAATTTTTCATAAACATCCAACTTTGCCAAATGTCACTAAAAAAGCAAAGTTAACCCCTTTCAATCTGCAATTTTCCAGAAACATCTGATTTTGCTCTAATTTGGCAAGGTTAACCCCTTACAATTTTTGATTTTTCATACAAATCTGACTTTGCCCAATTTTGCTAAAAATGCAAAGTTAACCCCTTACAATTTGAAAGTTTCATCCACATCTTATTTTGCCAAATTTCACTAAAAAAACAAGGTTATCCCCTTACAATCTGAAATTTTCCAGAAAGATCTGATTTTGCCCAATTTCGCTAAAATATGCAAGGTTCACCCCTTACAATCTGAAATTGTCCAGAAAGATCTGATTTTGCCCAATTTCGCTAAAATATGCAAGGTTCACCCCTTACAATTTGAAATGTTTCATAAACATCTAACCCCATACAATCTGCAATTTTCCAGAAACATCTGATTTTTTCCCAATTTTGGTAAAAATGTAAGGCTAACTCCTTGCAAACTGTTAAATCAATACATGAAGTGTCCCATTTGACTTTTTTAACACAAATTATATTTCCAGTTTTTAGGGTAAAGGAATGTTCTCTTTTTCCTTTCTCTTTTGTTGTTGCTATATTGCGAATTAACTCATTCGTATGGAAGATCATAGTCAATCAAAGAATATTTCACAAATAGGGGCCTAAATTATATTTTTTTAATTTAATAGAGACGAAATGATCGTGCTATCATATACAATTCTATTACTATTGCGATTTACTGTATTGTTTGGAATGCTCACAATTAAAGACACGTTATTTGAAAGATGTATCAATAATATTTATATTACAATGTACATCTTTATTCTTTCCCGGTATAATTTATGGCGTTTCTTACGTCAATTGGCAATCGCGTCATTATATAATGATAGTCAAATTGATCAAACGAAATTCCGTTTTGATTATAGTCAATAATGAAATATTCATTGATTTACGACATACACCTTTGTTTCAATTTTGATACTACCCGTAAACCTGCCGAGCAGCTGTAGATATCAAACTAAACCAAAGTATAAAAGATAGAGGGTAAAAAAAATCAAAAAGTTATGTGCTAGTCAAGCTTTCAGGGATCGGTCTGAGCCATAACAATGCCCCAGCCGATCCCTTAGTTCTCTTCCGGGGTCTCGGCGTCCCCGACCAATACACACTTCCTTCCCTATCCATCCATATAACCCCGGAGGGCCAGGCACCATGTAAAAGCAAAGAGCTAAGGGAGGAACAGGGCGGCCCCTAAGCCCTGATCCTCCGAGTGGACCACATGCCCTGAACCTGTACGAAGGCGCCAACCTGGAACTCGCGGACAGTACCAGCAGCAGTGCTTACCGATTAAGCTAAGGTACTGTTGGTACTTTACGACGGGAAATTAAATCTCTTATAGTAAATTATTGAACTCATACGTTAAAAACCAAAAAGACACCAGCGGGATTCGAACCCGGGACCCCGCTAATCGTGGACGACGAATCGTAACCACTCGGCCATTTCGTTACCTTAGAATTTTCCTTAAACTAAGAAAACTTGTCTTTATAGGTGAGCAAACGCGCCAGGAAGATTACTGGGTCCATTTGCTTTACCTTAATGGGTAAAAACAAGTCGATATAATGAGCCCAGTGTGTTTGGTTTGTTAAGAAGCTGCATAACACAGCCTAATGTGCAAAACAGTCGTGTGCTACTAGGCGGATCATTACGCAACAATGAACACCGCAATTGTGTATTTTCAAAAGCCAGACGCGTAGATTTCTACTCTTTGTATCTGGGCACATATAGATTCCGTCACCTCCCTCTTCAGCTATTTCGACTTTCTTAAAAAGAAAAATAGAGACTGTCAGCGAATATCCAGGAGTTGAAATAAGGATCGTCCCCTCGATAGACCTCAGACTCAGTAAAGTTCAACATTGGGCTCTTTTTCAACAGCTGTTTTTGCGGAAACTTTTACATCTGGATTTTTTAGAAGCATCTGATTTTGCCCAATTTTAGTAAAATATGCTCCAAATTTTGCTAAAAAAGCAAGGTTAACCCCTTACCATTTTAATTTTTCATACAAATCTGATTTCGCCAAATTTCACTAAATATACAAGGTACACCTCTTTCAATTTAAATTTTTTCATAAACATTTCTTTTTGCCCAATTTTGCTAGAAATACAAGGTTAATGGTAAAACGGAAAACAAAACATGCTTTGATTTGGCATGAAGATTTAATAAACACATTCAGGCTGCGGCAAATCCAATATATTGGTTAATGTTTTGATTGTACATGTATTTGTGTCTGAGTGTAAGCCCTAACAATCTGCAATTTAGTTCCAGAATCATCTGATTGTGTCCTATTTTGCTTAAAAAAATGCGAGGTTAACCCCTTACAATTTGAATTGAACATCTAATTTTTCCCAATCTTATTCAAAAAGCAAGATTAACCCCTTACAATCTGCAATTGTCCAAAAACATTTTTTTTAAAATGCGAGGTTAACCCCTTTCAATTTGAAAGTTTTCGCAACATCTAACCTTGCAAAATTTCACTAAAAAAGCAAGGTTAATCCCTTACATCTGAAATTTTTCGGAAACATCTGATTTTGCCAAATTTCGCTAAAATATGCAATGTTCACCCCTTACAATTTGAAATGTTTCATAAACAACTAACCCCATACAATCTGCAATTTTCCAGAAACATCTCATACACTGACTTTAGGCAAAATAGTCAGACTTTTGCGGTCTAGTAACCAGACTTTGACTCTTAACGAAACATCGAATGAAAAGGGAAACATCAAATGCATATTGCACAAGATCGAATGCAAACATACCGATGAAACATCGAATACAAATAGCTCGAAATGTCAAACATATGTGTAAAACATTGCTCACATATTTGAGAATATCGCAAATATATTGTAAAACAACACACACAATTGTATCGAAAAACATCGCACATTTAATGCAAAAAAATCGAACATAATATTGAAAACATCGCACATATATACATGTATCGTCAAAAACATCGCACATATAAATTGAAAATCGCATATAAATGTAAAACATCGCACACATATATTGAACATCGCACATATATTGTAAAACATCGCACAAATATATTAAACATCGCGCAAATAATGAAAAACATCGCACACTTATATTGAACATCGCACATAAATGTAAAAGATAACAAACACATAATGAACATCTAACATATATATTGCAAAATATTGAATATTGCAACGTTTGACACGCCATACCGGAAGTGATCTTTATCATTGGCTTCCTTGGCAACGCGATTTTCGTACCGTGGATGAAATTCTCAGCACAAAATCTGTCATTAAATTAGTGTCATTGAAGTTTTCTGTGATTCATTCATTAAATCTAAGAATTTAAATTCCATTTTCACGTTCAATCCGCGTGTGGAAATTATTGTTTGTGTATTCACGCCGAAATGTGATGTCGTGAGTGTGCACGCACGGACGATCGCCGGCGCGCGAATGAGGTGGTAGAACTTGAGTGTAGAGATTGTCATTGAAATACGAAATCCATTTTATTCCTCGTGATATCTCAAAAGGCTTGCAAATTTTCAAACATTTTCCTTGAAGATCTGAAGGGGAAAATAACGTATTCTGAAATTGATGAAATGAACCACTAGTTCCTACAAAATCGTAGTGTACTGACTGTTGGACGACGTTTTAAAGATATAAATATGGCTCTCACACTTGTCAGTTTGAAGTGGTTAGCAGGCAAGGAGTTCACTGGGCGGCCGCCATCACCCAGGTAGGCCAATAATGTGGTGTCTTTTGTTTACAGAAGAACCATACACAACTTGTTTACACAATCACTGTGGCCCGCCTGACATTTCAGTGATTTAAATCGATTTATTGATTTAGACTTTTGGTCAACATCTTTGTAACAATAGCTAAACAAAGAAAGGTTTTTTTGGGGGAGGGGAACAACATTCGAATGAACACTTGACATCACCAAAAGAGAGGAGTTGTAACTTTCAATTTAACTAAATATCAATCATTGTAGTTTCTTTTGTGAAAATTGTTTGGTTAATGAATTATTTTCTTTCTTGGTTTTAGTTAAGTTTACTTTTGTGTATTAATTTATTTACTTATTTTTACTGAGCAGTTGATCTTAGATAGCTTTGTTTGAGGGGTGGGGTATAATTGTTTTCCTTGGCTTTTGTCAGTTGCTTAAAATTTAAGACAAAAGTAGGAAAATTATGTTGGAATTCTTCCCATTATGTTTACTTGGAATTCAGAAAATAATGATTACTTTCAAATTAATCTGGGATTGAGATACCTGATATTCACAACATAGTTTTTTTTATTACTTTTATTAAGTTTAAGGGTGAAAGGAAAGAAAGCACAAAGAAATGAATTGCATTGCCATGGCTTCATATCTTGGGCCAAAACAAAACTTCTGCTTCCGATTACATAACATTTGAAAAAAGGGTAGGTAGGTAGGGAATTTTTTTTGGGGGGGGGGGGATATTTTTGTGTATGAACATATGGAGGTGTCTGCATGTAGTAAACAGTAAAAGATAGTAATTGATGATTTTCAGGATTTTCACATTTTCCCCAAAAAATTAGGGTAGGGGCTGTCAAAATAGGGTAGGTAGGGTAACTGGAAGCAGAAGTATTTTTTTTTATTTGCCTTGCCCTTCAGCACACTTTTTAAATGATAAAATCATATCATTAACCAATAATTTTGAATAAATTCCTTATTGTCTTTAATTTATAGGCAAGGGCATGCGATCACCGTCATTGATAATGCTGCCTACATCTTTGGTGGAACTCGTTGTGTGGAGGAACCGGAAAGGGTATGAAATGATCTGAGAACAATTTCCACTATAAAATGGGCAATGACAATTGACTGGAAATGAAGCTAGAGTTTTGATGATCTTCGGCTAAGGTCAAAGAAAGGATCCTGAAAACTCTCAAACAGTTTTTAACAGTAGAGTTAAATTGTATTATATTTTGGCCACAGGGTATCTTTTTTTTATTAGTTAACCTGCTGAAATTATGTAATTGATAAAATAAATGAAGATTTATAAAGCTTGCTCAGTGTACCCTTCAAGATGACCTTTTTTTTTTTTTTTTTCTTTGCAGGGGATCTTCTACTTCAGAGATTTACACAAACTTCACAGTAAGTGGGTTTTTTTTGTCCTCCAAGAAAACTTTATTTTTGAAACAAAAGTTTATTTCAAATGCATTGAATTTTGACATTGATTATACATATTTGTATTAAAAACTACACTTTCTTTTGAGTTGGGTGTTTTCAGTTGCTGCCTCTTCCAGTGGTATATGTAATTAATTTTTTTTTATTTTAAACTTTCCAAGTTGGCAAAATCTTGAGATGGGAGAAGATTAGATATGCAGGCGATGCTCCGTCAGGTCGACATGATCATGCATTATGGTAAGAGCATTTTATTTGTAGTCGAGTAATTATGTTCATTTGAGGGTCCTTGTCTAATCAACATAAAAGACATTTTAAAAAGTTAAACATTTTTCTCATTGAAAGATGAATTTTTGGCCTGAGTTAATTAATATTACAAATCTTCAAGGCACAAATTTTAGAATTTTAGTCTTACATTTTTTCATTTTTTTTTTGTTTTTTTTGTTTTTTTTGCTGCAGTGCTATCGACAACACATTGTATGTGTTTGGAGGCAGAAATGAGTTGAACGCAGAAGAAAGTTTACCTGGCGTCTACGCATTCAATACAAGTAAGAGAAAGTTGATAATGATTGCTAGCTTTTCATTTTAGGACAAAAAGTATATTTCCTTTTTGTAGAAGTCTTCAAAGGCTGCTGAACTGAACTTCTTAAATGAAGAAACGTTTTTCCTTTTTTTTTAGAGTCGCGCGATTGGAAGCACGTACAGACACACGGGGTCGAGCCAAGGTCATTGAACCCTGGTTGGGCAGTCATAGAGAAAAGGATCTTTGTGATTGGTGGAATCTATAAAGGCGAGGCGCATTGCGACGTGGATGTCTTAGATACAGGTAAGCCAACACTCGGACACAGAAATTTCATCATCGATCCTGGTGTCCAAAATTTAACTCAAGTCTGCCAACCAGCCGCAGTAAGTTGTCTGCAGTTGTGAGTGATTACAAAGAGAAAGAAAGAGAAAAGTAGGCGGATAAAGCTAAAAAGTATATGTAATGTCCTTTTTGTACTGCATTTTCATCACTCACATGAACCACTTACTTACAAGGAAAGTCTGTAGATGCACGTTACTCTTCATTCATTATGTGTTGTTACCCTCACACACCATTTTGACATCTCACTTTGCACCACAGAGTCACACACATGGACTAAACTGACCATCTCTGGTCTGCCACCGGCACCAAGGTATGATGTGGATTGTTTCACATAAAGAGAACTTGTAATGTTCATTCAACGATTGTAATGACAGTATGCAAAGCATTAGCATTTCTAATAAGGAAATTCATTTAATAGACCATGTGTTGTCATGCCAAAAGGCAACAACCAGGTAACCCAAACATTTAAGCATTTTGCATTTTTCTTTGGCCCACGTTAAACAGTTTATGTCACCTCTTTTACACCAATCACATTTCAAGAGATACACAGGCGGTGCAGAAGAGAACCGTTTGCTGTAAATTGGCATCACGTGACCGCAACATCCATCTTATGAACATCCAATTTGTAAACAAATGTCACATTGTCTATAGGCCTAGGCTTTTTAAGCAACTATGTCCTCTTGCATTATGAAATTAGATATTTGTTGTATTCCAGGAATCAAGACACTAAAACCCCGTTGTCATTGTGCACCCATCCCCAGATGCATACATTAATTAATTATTTAAATATCTCACTTTTTTTCATGAATGAGGAGCAACATGATGTTTTTGTTTTTTGGAGAAAAAAAATTGTAAGTGGTTCTTTTTTCAACCATTTATTTGATTTGTCCATGTTGTCTTAGATGTGATCATAGACTGGTGCCTGTTGGTCACAAAATCTACCTGTTTGGTGGATGCGGGGGCAAAACAAATGCTTCAATGATCTCCATGTGTTCGACACAGGTAAACAAAATCTTAAAGATAAGGAACATTTGCAGTATTTAGTATCTGTAATAAAATTCTTAACCCTTTCAACTCCCCGGCTTTACCCACAAATGCTCAATTTGACCTCTTGCCCAGTTCTGTCTCATTTTGCAAGAAATTTCACATTTGTACTTGTAAGGAGCAACAGGCTCTGTGCCGAGTATCTGGAAGGGTTAAGGTTAACGAACCAGACAAATTCTATGAGGATTAAGTTCCACTTTTTTCTTTTCAACTGACAGTTTTGTTTTTTTCAAAAACAGAATCTTTGCAGTGGTCCTCCCCACCGGTGAGGGGGGACCCACCCCCACCCAGGGGATGTCACAGTCTGACCCTCCATGCAGACAAGGTTAGTTCCACCATGTTTGTTGGTTCATTTGCATTTGTTTGTGTGTGTGCTCATTTGCATTGATCTGTCCATTTATGCATTTGATTTTGCATTTGTGGTAAATTTGTAAGTTCACTCAATGAGGTTGTATAATTTACTTTGTCTTTATATTTGAGTTATCTTCATTTGAAGTTACTGCATAACATACAAATCTTTTGTTACATTTTTAATAATTGAATGAACAATTTGCACAATTTTAATCTTGCAAGTTGCTCACTTTAAAATCCATGCCTTTGGTCCCTTTGGTTGTTTTCCATTGTTTATTTGTTCACTGTCATACATTTAAGTATCAAGAAAAGTCAGGGAAAATGTTTGTATGAAGAACTGCAGACAACATGATCTGAAAGTGTAGTCTTTTTTTACCTATACCTATCAATAATCATAGAATGTTCCTGCACTGAAACATCTTGTTAAGAACTCGCATCTCCAACAACTTGTTCTGTGTGGCCAAGATTAAAGTGGACCTCTATAATCTGGTCTTGAATAGCTGTTCACAGTTATCTTCAATTGACAGGATTAAATACTGGAGGAGACACTAATCCCTATTGTTAATCCCCTCTGCTCAGCCTTGATTGGCTTCTGTAGTGTTGGTCCAGATCTCTTCAGTGGGCGATGCATTTCTTTTGAGAGGGATTAAGACATCTTCAGGGACAATTTACATCGATTTGTGGAGCACTAAAGAAAAATCACTGATATGGTTTCCCAGTGTTGTGTACTTGTTAAAATTAAGAAGTTGAGCAAGAACTGGTATGCATGCAGCAATTGTGCGCAGCTGTTTTCTTGGAAGTGTTGTTGCCGTCATCGTAGTACAAATGTAGTAGTTCAAGATGGTGGATTAAGGTTGCTACTTGTTTGTGCATTTAATGCAACCTGTGCTGACGTTACAAAAATCCAAACAAAATGTTGTTCTTTAAACCAATGATACCAGTGATTCCAAATTTCAATTGTTGGTTGTGTGTTCAGAGCAGAATTTTCCTTTATTTGTCAAATGAACTACCATGGGAAAACTTGTAGGTTTTTTTAAAACAAAGAAAAAGTGAAGCCTATACTTGATCATCTGTAACCTGTGGATTATTGTATCAGTGTTCTAACAACTGAACTATTCTGGCCTATGTGTTGGCAGTTTATGAATTTGTCACTGTCTCATCAGCTAGAAAAAAATACTGTTTTAATTATTTAAGAGACTACTCCCTGCAAGCATTATTAATAATATCTAGTGAGTTTTCAGAAGTTGAATTCAAATTTTGTCTCTTTGTTTTGTTTTGTTCCAAGCTTTAAATTATTCTGATGAACATTTGGCATTTGATTCTGTTGTCAGGATATCTATGTCTTTGGAGGATCCAACGATGGCTTGAAAGGAAAGACAACTCTAGGTGACCTCCACAAATTGAGCCTTGGTGAGAATTTGTCACTTCAATTAAGTGTCATTAGGCAGAGTATATTATGACTTCGTGTGACAATACTGTCATGAAAATTGTCATGTTGTAAATTGTAATGCAAAGGATGGGCACCAACACATCCTTCCCCTAAAAAGGCCCACTGTTTGCCTTTTGAAAAACACCAATAAACACATGAGTCCAATAAGGATACACTCCTACCTTTATAACTTGGTTTTATGTCATCCGTTTTTTCCTGGGTTTTTTTTTTTTTATTATAGCCAAGATGAAATGGAAACGGCCGTTCTACTCTGGCAATCCTCCGTGCAGACGCTTCGGTCATGTGGCTTGCACATATCTCAATCATGTGAGTATTCATCCACAGAACTAGAAAGTATTGAATGGAAAAAAATCCAAGTTTTGTGGGCGGGGCCTGTGGCAAAGAGCATGATTAAAATGCAAGACTGGGCAAGAGTTTTGCATAAATTTGCATGTCATTAATGGTTTTGATCTCTGATTGGTTCCAACAGCTGTATATCTTTGGAGGCACCAATGAGGAGATGGACTACAATGATGTCAAGGCAGCCAAGCTGATCAATCCGTCCAATCGCAAACCCTGTAAGAAAACCTGCACTCTCATCTGTCCAATCAAAATTCTTTTTAGTTATCATGATGATTAACAGTTGAAACAGATCCCCACTGATTGACCACAAGTACAAAAGAGGGGCACATGCATGTCTACACTGGTTTAATTGTACCAATAATACAAACTTTTTTTCCAAAAAGATACTTTTGTTCTCAACTTATCTGTTTTCTTCCAGTGAAAGTTTCACCAGAGGTCCTGCACAACATACTGTACAGCAAAGCCGACCAAAGCGAAGGAACATCATCTCCATCGTTACCTCTGCATGAAAGCATGCTCAGCTCAGCCACAGATCACGAACAAGGTGAATAGACAGTTTGCGTAGAGCGCCCTCATGGAAAACAAGTCATCTTTGTAATGCGCATGAGCATACACTTTCTACCTTAATTGTAATAAAACCTGTATGGTACTTCTTTATCTTGTTTCAGATGACTCCGATGCCTCAGATGCTTCATCTAGTTCCGCATCTTCTTCTGACTCCAATAGGAGCGACAGCAGTGATGAAGACTTGAGTGACTCCTAATAACTTTCCAAGGCCAAAGAGTATTCCTCTCACATCAACCATTGACCCTTTGCACGGCCTATATCCAGCACGATGATCAGTAACAACACAAAATGCGACATACGCCATTTTGTTCCCTTTTAGAATCGGCTGCCGCCTGGCTGCCCATAGTCAATTTTGACAGCTGTTTAATAGACACAACCTAAGAATGCAGTAAAGCAAACAAAAATGAAGTTTAGAACCAGCTGTCATACTGTTTTCATTCTGGAAAGTTTTATAAAAGGCATGCAACTGGGAATTAAAAAAAATGAGGAAACTCTAACCCACACAAAACTTTGTACAGCATTTTTCAACTTGTAATGACATTCATGAGAAGTAAAAAATTAGGAAATCTGCAAATCTGAGGACAAGTTGCCTGCCTGTTATAACCGTGCACATATTCACATTTTGGAACTAAACTCTTCATATATTTTTGGAAAATATTGTGTTGTGTATGAGATTCCCATGAGATTGGTGTATGTGAATGTCCAACAATGAACAACTCTTTTTGGGTGCTTGTACAGGCGTTATAGTTATTTGTACACAGATTTCTTTTAAATATGGATGCAATTTATTTTTGTATATTTGTGTGAGTGCAGCTTAGCAAATAGTATGGTTTTAAAACTTTTTGGAGTGCGTGGGCTCCGTGCACAAGTACCCCCTCAACGGTAAGAAAGGGAGAGTTGGGGAGACCACTGGGAGAGACACTCAAAAGTATTGCTGACAACGCCTGACGCTCACAAGGACGCTTTGGGGCTTTGTGCATGCATTCAGATTAAATAAGGTATACATGTAAATATATTATCTTCAAGCAAACTTGAATCCTCGATCCTGATTGGTCGATCCATGGCAACAGGCCGTGCTACATATAACCATACCGCACGGCCACGGTCCATACCGCACTCCGCGTATTGCGCTATTCTAAGCCTACGTGACGTGATTAGTGCTGCACAATTCATTGTGAATTCAAAAGTTGCGCGTAGGTTACAGCATGCGTGTTCCAACTTTACTGTGCGTCAAGTTTGCTTGAAGATAAATTCGTTATCGCGCTCGCGCTCGTGGAACACGGAAAATGTAGTGCGTTTGTGTCCCACATACCACGAGGCCAAAATATGTGGGATACAGAAGCACTACATTATTCCGTGTTCCACTCGCGCTCGCAAGATAACTAATAATATACTTCGTGCTATACGTGCACGAATCAGTACGCGAACGCATGTGTCCCGTCCATGGGGCTCTCGAAAGCGCCCCCTCTTGTTCACGCACGGAGCCCACAGCACGGATTCAATTAACGTACTTCCTGGGTAAAAGGTTACTTGGTTGAAAGTAGGAGGGATACAGAATATAGTTGTTTTCTTTTGTTTCATTTGTTATGTGACATTTTGTTTCCTTTTGAAGTGTTTTCTTTTCCAATTTTTGTATAAAGGTCTTTTTCTAAAGCCAAAGAAACTGAAGTTGTCTATATGAATTCCAGGTTTGTTAATGGAGCAAAAGTATGCAAAACGACGGCATCGAGAAAAGTTTTTTCTTATGTCCGCACACGTCACCCAGATTACACTGCAACAAACACAACATGATCATTATGAAGCGAAATGAAACAAATGAAGTAATTTAATTTGGATGTAATCTAGAATATATATAATATTTCTTTTAATATCATTCTGCTGTATCTATGTTTGGAGAAGAAAAACCAGAATTTATTGCCATAAGTACATTTGGTTACTTGTCTTTTGTGTCCAGAGAAATGTATAAACTCTTGAACTGACATAATGCATGCATTATAATCCTACCAACTGATCTAAAAGTTATATACATTAAACATTAAAAGATGACTTTTTACTTTTAAATACATAAGGCACACATACATTTTCCTTGATCAAAATAGTGTCTTCTTAATAGTGAGACAGATCCGACATTGCAGCATTATCGTTAAGAATGCAGAAATTGTTCAGTACATGTCCAATGTCTTTGTTGCAAGTTAAAGGAAACTAAAAAGAAAATAACCGTTTATAGTTCCGTTCCCCGTGCTCTTTAACAAATTCAATTTTATTTTCCTATTAATAAATTTCCAATTACTAAATTTTTAACTTATGATTTATTAAAACCAAAAGAATACCTCTTTTTTTCCTTTTTGGACTTCTGCAAGAAAGTTTTTGTTTTTGTTTTAGAGCCAATAGCCTAACCCGAGAGTACAGAATTATTATCTGGAAGCAAATAATTCAAAATTGTATATTAATTATTCAATAACTAAACATGGGCCGATTTTTTTCGATCGTGTTTCATTCAAAAGTGGATAACGTTTGTATCGCTAGAAAAATAGTAATTCAGAAAAGTAATCTATGTTTCGGGATGGAACTTGAAAATAGCACAGGGAACGCAACTTCTAATTTGAAACATATGTTAACCCTGCTCACATGCTGTTACTACTAGGTTAACCCACTGGGACTTGTCCAACACTGTATTACATTGTATTACATGTTATTACATTGTATTACATTGTATTTATTCACTGATGAATCCATAACACCCGTACTGGGGCGGTTCCGGGCGATACATGGAGTAATAGGCAGGGCAGTTTGGGGTGGTGTAGGGACCAATGCATTAACGGCAACAAACCAGGGCTTAATCTCCGTGACTGACACTTTAGTTTAAACCAAGTGTGGTTAGTAGTATGTTGCCTCATATCAAGGTGTAAGAACACGTAACCGTTGTTGGTGCCATGTAAACCTTGGGCAGGCTCAACACGGGTTTTCAAAAACTCAAGAGATAATTAAAAAGGAAAACAAAAGGGCTTCAGAAACCAGGCTACAAAAACAACAATAGGAAATCCATATTATATTACAGTTTAGTAACAAATAAGCACTCTAGAATGGAAGACAATTAGCATAAACTGCCCAGGTATACAAATCCGTGGAGTTATCTACTGCTGCATCACTTATGTAAGCAAAATTGAGCCCAGAAGTTGACATGCTGTTTAATTTGGTTACGGTCAAAATGTCCAAGGTTCTATAAAGGCTGAATCATACTTCATGCGAATGTGATGCAAATTTCACGTCACAAAGCATTCGCTGCGAAGTTGAAATGTGTGAAAACTTGCATTGGCGTCACAAATTTGTGTTCACGTTCACTTTGGCGCCGAGTATGAACCGTCCTTAACAAGAAAATCGTGAAATTCAACTGCTTAATGGAGTTGAAAAAATTATTAAAATATACTAAAACAAACTACAGGAGAGGACCATTAGTCGACCAGTGGTTGATTTGTAATGAAATTTAACACCTGCACTTATAGCAACGCGCAAACAGCTCTCGTCAAACGATGGTCAAAAGTCATGGCTCCTTGTTGCGGTTTATGATGCGCATGGCTACTGGTAACCTGCGATGCAACCATGCTCCATGCTCTGGTTCCAAATAGTCAACTACAGTGGTCCAACACTCCTTCGTTCAAGCAAATTTAGTGAAATATGGTTAACTCTAGCTTGCCCTAGAACAGAAAGGTTGGGATGTGACAGCTGATTGGTGACTGCCATGACAACTGTTGCTATCCAACCTTACCCACACCATTGTCGGACATGCAGATGGGTGTGGTCTCCCAGGCTAGTAAACGATAAAGCACACAGGATGAAGTGGAGTAGCACTATCTCCATGGGGAAGGTAGTCAGACAGGCTTAGGCAGAGACAGCTGAGTGGTCTTTGACGGTTCGTAGCCGTACAGGAAGGTTGCACTTATGACGAGAGCAGCTCCGAGGAAAAAGTAACTGAAAAAAGGCAAAGGAAAGAAGCAGTTCTACATTCATGACTGGACATTTTTACTTCCTTCTTGATTGTCAGTTCTTTTTTATTTTTACTTCATTTGGTTGACTTCTTTTTGATATTCGGAAACGCTTTTTAGCAGATAGAGTATTTACTTGTCTTAACATCAACTACAGAGGGCACTGTTGACAAATGAAGGACACTTTCATATTGTGGGTTCACGTGCACAAAAACCCTTTCACAGGTGAAAAAAATCTTCAGTGCAATATCAAAATATACTTCAGTTAAATAAAATGAGGCTTTTCAAGTAGAAAAGAACAATTTGAGATACTCACAAATGGAAATGTTCAGACATAAATCAATATTTTGGTAATCAAATTATCTCACAAACACAGTGAGGGTCAGGAGAAATTGGAAAATAATTGCCGTCAATTTTAGGGAAGTGCATCTCCCCAACAAATATATCTTCAATATTTCAGCAAAACAACAAATGACTGCTTTCACAAAGAAAAACGCTGCTGGACAAAATCATTCAGATTCCCCTCGCACTGCTTTAGGCCTCCCCGGCCCAAGTCCATCATACTCCATCAAAATTTAGTCAAAACGGGCCAGCAGGACCAAGTCCTCCAAAATCCACCAAAATGGGGGATGGATCTTGATAGAGTTGGGAAGGTTCGGGTTACTAAAATCTTCTAAATCGGAACTAAATAATGAAGACGATTTTGTTGTTACCTTGAAGGGATAAAATCGTTGAGCAGGTAGTAGGAGACAATCATTGATAGAATGATGGAGAGAGAGGTTGCAAATCCTTTCAAGATGTTATCAGCATATTTGATGACAGCAGCTATTATCAAACCACCAAAAGCCTGAGAAAAAAAAGACAAACAAAAATGTGTATCTCACTTGTATGCATTTTAAAAAGGAAAAAGTAATGAAGTACCAAGTGAGTTGCCATGCAGTTAGTCTGGAAACAGACTCAAAATGGAAGGTTTTTATGGACAGACATTCTAAGTCTGGTACCAACCAGTGCATAGACTATCAGAATGACCTACGACACAGAAGTCATCCTAATTTAAATATTCATGCATGTAATGCATGAGTTTGCAGAAAAATTAGGCCAATCAAAGTAAAGGGGAGGCGGCCAAGACACTTAGCAGCCAATAAGATATTAGAAGAATGAGGCCATTGCCTGTCCTCATATACTTATGTGTTATGAGGCCAGCAGTTAGGTCTTTTTATGCATACAGTAAACATTGCTAAACAAATTAATCCATTTCATAAAAATCAGCTGGTAACCAGTTACAAGCAATATGCAACACACTGCATTTTGGCTGGTATCCTGGCTTTGATATTTTTTTTGGGGGGGGAGGAGTTTAGTAAATTATGTGATTATTGAGAGCTCTGGCTTATCAATTCTAACCTTCTTTCCAGGGGAACAACCACATACAAGTTTTCAAGGTAAAAAAAAGATGGGTGTCGATTATCTACACAAATGAATTAATCCCTAGCACTGTTCAGGAGTCGGGGAACTAATGCAAGATGGCTGCTACAAACTAACCTTTCTGTCATAAAGCATCTTTTCTGCTACATGTAATTAAGTATTTTTGAATAGTTGCTTACTTGGTTTAAAACGACGATCCACGTGAGATTATTGTAGCCTTGGAAGAAACCCGCTGACATGACTTGCTGGCCGTCGTTCATGATGACCCCGCCCAGCCCAAATAAAACACCAAAGAAAGCTAAAAGGAAACAGACAAAAAATGCACAATTATACAAATATAAAGAATCAAAAACAAAAATACAAGACATTATTAATGCATCTGCCCTTTCGAGAAAAGTGTATAGGCCTTTATTTCTTATCACAGTGACCTTGATCCATCAACCCAATTAGATTATCAATCACTTAGAATAGAACTGATTATCAAAAACCTATTTGTTCTCTATTTTTACCTTTCAACCCAAAATTCTATCTACAACTTTCATTTCCCTGATGGTAACCCTTCTGTCAAGTTTCATTCAAAAAATTATAACTCGTTGGACATATATATCGTCCACAAACCAAACTAACAACTTGATGGACAGACAGATACCTCTTTTTTACCCCCCCCCCCCCCCCCACAAGAAAACCTAACCAAAAATTGAGACAATTTGAAGATTTTTTGTAATGTGTACTCACCAAGTTGAATATTTCGCAGCCATATCGACTGCTTGGTACCCTTGAGTATCTTCTCAAAGTAAACCCCAGCGAACCCACTAGAGAAGCAGGCCGAGAGTACAGCTACCAGACCTACAAACTGGTTCTTGGAGGGTGCCGACTCAATCTTTTCTTGATCTTTACTTTCTGTTGGCATCTGTTTAAAAAAAATAATAACATATTATCAGAAACACGGGATAAAGAAGTGTTACAGGGTGTAACAGGCAGGCAGCTTGGGGCAGTACAAGGAGTAACAGGAAGGGCAGTTTGGGGCAGTACAGGGAGTAACAGACAGGGTGGTTTGGGGCAGTATAGGGGGTAACAGGCAGGGTGGTTTGCAGCAGTACAGGGAGTAACATGCAGGGTGGGTTGGGCAGTACAGGGAGTAACAGGCAAGGCAGTTTGGGGCAGTACAGGGAGTAACAGACAGGGCGGTTTGGGGCAGTATAGGGGGTAACAGGCAGGGTGGTTTGGGGCAGTACAGGGAGTAACAGGCAGGGTGGTTTGGGGCAGTACAGGGAGTAACAGGCAGGGTGGGTTGGGCACTACAGGGAGTAACAGGCAGGGCAGTTTGGGGCAGTACAGGGAGTAACAAGTAGGGAAGTCTGGAGCAGTACAGGGAGTAGCAAGCAGGGCAACTTGGGGCAGTATCAGGAGCAATAGGTAGGGCGGTTTGGGGCAGTACAGTTAAAACTCCTCCACCTACCTGCACTAACGCGACCCCTGCCATAAGAAGTACGAGGGATACCCATTTGTTGGAGTTCAGTTTTTTGCTCAGCATCAGGACAGAGAACATGGCTGTCGTTAAAATCTTCAGCTGGTACGTGACCTGGACAAAATACGAATTTGAAATGTCATGAACCAGAAAACAGCCAAAGTTTTGGCTAAAAATCAAGTCCAAATTTCAAAAAGTTAGTTATTCATCATTATCATTTTTGCTGATGTAAGTGTACTAAGTTGGAAATGGTAACGCCACACTGAAGGTGAAAGGTATAACAATTGCAAAACAAGACGAGGCTTGCCAAGATGAATCTCGGGTAAGGACATTATTTACCCTTGGTGACTAGTCAGTTCGTTAGTCGGGGAGTCAGTCAGTCAATGACTCAGACTTAGTCTGTATCCTAGAGACAAAAGGCCGGCCAACATTTTCAGTTTCAGAACCGATATCTGACCTGGTATGTTGCAGCATCGAGGTTTGACAAGGCTAGGAAGAGCAGATTGTTCTGTATCGTGTAGAGACCAGACGGCACAGCTAGCTTGAGTGTGTCGGTTGGCTTGTTGATGATCTGCTCTCGGATAATTCTGATCAGATTCGAGATACTCCATGCTCCTAAATCAGACAAATCAATTCAAACAATCAAATCAATCAGTCAGTCATTTACTTAATGCATGGTTTTAGCCAAAGAAATGTCTGACAACTTTTAACCAGTTTTATACTTTATGGATGCTGTGACTTTAAATAATTTAATTTTTCCTTTTTAATTAGAGTATGCAGTACATGTAAATGTATGTAGTGTGTCTTTGGTATGTTCACCTCTCTTTTCATTATGTATATTATCATTTTTATTTTTGTTTTGGGTTTTTTGGATTTTGATATCTGTGTTTATTTTTCAAAATTTATTGTGTTTGTAGTTTGTACTGATCACCACAGGGCCATTTCAAAAACAATTTTACTTAACAATGTTACCTTGTATATAGATATGTTTTAAAGAGGTTGTGGAATGCTCAAAGACATTTCCGTCATTTTTGGGGTATATGTAGCCTAAGGTGTGATGAAATAAAAACGACTATTGTTTCTGTCATGAAATGAGTACAAAGGTTACTTTTGAGAGCTATTTTTCAGGTCCTGTTTCGACCCGAACGTGCAATTTGTGTAAAAGTCGTCGTTGCGGGCAGCAAACAAAACACAGTAAATCGTGACGTAATAAACAGGACTCGTTTATGCTACTCTGCATCGGGAGTCCTGTTTATTACGTCACAATTTACTGTGTTTTGTTTGCTGCCCGCAACGACGACTTTTACACAAATTGCACGTTCGGGTCGAAACAGGCATGACAGGACTTGAAAAACAGCTCTCAAAAGTACCTTTTGTACTCATTTCATGACAGACACAATAGTCGTTTTTATTTCATCACACCTTAGGCTACATATATCCGAAAAATGACGGAAATGTCTTTGAGCATTCCACAACCTCTTTAAATAAGGATCATGCTATAATTGTGGGGTCCATATTTTCCCTGTCCATGTTACATCGACATCCATGATTTTAAAAATTCAAAATGTACTCCTTAATGCAGTCATTCTCCAAGAGTGATTATGAATAGCAAACTGCCTACCCAGCAAATAGAAAATCATTTGGAGTCATTCTTAATGATACTTGAACGGCAAACTGTGGACCATAAATTTGTAGAATCACCCATAAATACATAAAATATAATTTTTCTGTGGTTTTTGTACCTTCTCCGCCCAGTACTAGCACAACGCAGATCAACATCTTGATCAGTTCAGCCATGACGATGGCCGTGGTGCTGAGGTATCGTGGGCCTTCACCTTGCACCATGCGGGAGTATCGTAGCGTCAGGACCAGGGATGTGGTCTGTAGGATCAGAACGCTCAGAGAGACATACTTGGGGTTGAACTTCAGGGGCGACATCTGAAAAAAAGAGGACCCCAAATTTATAGAATGACTATACTGTGCATAAATCAATGTCAGACATACAGTTTGGACAATTCAACAGAATGCAAAAAAATTAAGTGAATTTAAATTTTGATAAAGCGTATCAATTAATTACTTAAATGATGTAAAAAATAATTTATTCATTAATAAACTTTTTGCTGTTGTACAAATCGGCTCAAAACACTATGCTGACGGATGAAAGTGATGCGGTTTTTTTGGACCGGATTAATTTTTCAGTTAAACGTAAAAGCTGAACTATTGAATATTGTTAGAAATAAACTATATTTCAATAAACAAAATATACAATAAGCTTTTAGCAGTTTTTTTTTAAATAATTTTTGGCATGGACGTTGATAATTCCGAGGAATTGCATGATATACATTGTGTACACATTCAGCATGTAATTAGCGCACCAAAAGTGGGCGTGGTACATGTATAGTGTGCTGTCAGCTTCACACACAGGTCAATATTTACAAAGTAAATAATATCATCCTAGTCAGAATGGACAATACCACCATCCATTGCAGCTGTTGACAAGCTGCACAGATATACATACATCTCAATTCAAGCAAATAAGGTGATTTTCATAAGATTGAATTAAAGGGAATGTACAACATTTGCTTTTGCTTGAATTTTCAGAAACAAATGGATTTGGAGGATAAGTATGTTAGAGAAAATATGGTTAAACTGACTTGTTTCACGTTTTGGGCTTGTAGATGCCAGGCGCGGTTCTACGGGGGGGGGGGGGGGAGGGGGGGCCTAGGGGGGGCTGTAGCTCCCCCAAAATTTTGTCTAGCCCCCCTCAAAATAAATTCCGTAAAAAAAAATTGCATTAGCAAAAAGAAGGATTGTGATGTACATGCGAAAGGTCTCCCCCAAAAAAGAAATAGCGCTGACAAGGGTGCATTAGTTAATATAGTGTGAATGATTTTAGGATTTTATTGGCGCTCCCCATTGAAAATATGGCACGAGCCCCCCCCCCCCCCCCCCCCAATTGCAATCAATTGCAAAAAAATAACTAAATATGAAAAATTAGGAACAGTTGTTGGAAAAAAAGCCAGTTTTCTCCAACGCTGGTCGGCCGACCAGCATTGGAAAAATACAGTTTTTCTTGAAAATGTCAGCACACCAGGCCAGAGCCACAATTTTACAGGATGCTTTAGACTGTCAATCCCCAACAATTCAGTAAGGTATTTCGTGATAATTTGATCATTTCGTTTTTTGATGCTTGCAAATGCTGTATCTTCCCTTTAATAACCATTTTATGAACTGGTGTGTAAGACTCTGAAAAAAATTAACTATAAATGTATGAAATCTCTTTGCTTAGAACAGAATGTCTGAAATTGACACAAAACAGCAATATTTTGACAACCATTGGTGGGGGGGAGTTTTCAGTTATTTTTAGGTGTATAATGTACATTTGTATCAGATTTAGAGAGGTAATATATTTTTGTTAATATTTCAATAAACTTCTTCTCTAAAATAGGCTTATCTTCTAAGATGTCCACTTCGCATGGCCTACTGACTATTATGATGGTACAAATTGTGATCAATGTACCAGGCGTCACAAAATTATAAAGAAATAAAAATCAGAATGTGTGCATGAGTCCACTTGTAACACACCTAAATGTTTTAGAACATTTTGGCGCAGCCGATGTGCGTTATGCAAGTTCACAATCAATATATCGATGCAGGTAGCTGGTCTGTAGAAAATGACATCATTTGAGAGAGACCTATAAGAACAAAAGATCCCCCTTGCGTCAAATTAGGTCAAATCTCTCTCCATCCCCCCCCCCCCCCCCCTCCCCCTTGGAATTTGAAGTGACCAGCTGGCTTTGGTTCTGGATCTGCTTTTGGTGCCCCCACCCAAAAAAAATGCCCTCCCAACTGAAAACAAATCCTAACAATTCTAGCTACAAAGATGGTGATGAACATCATCTACTGTTGATGCACAGCTGCTGTGTCAATTCAATTAGGTTAAAGATATTTCACCTGAAAAACTCATAGTATGACCAAAACATGATTTGCTTCCACAAAATAAAGGGATTATAACTTTTATCTTGCATCAAGGGTCGGTAATACAATTTACGGGGTTAAGCCTCTTACAACTACAAGTACAACGTACGTAAAGCTTTTGAATTCGGGTGTTTTTTTTTAAGAATTCAACAAATCCTACTACTAAATATCGACTTTCTTCAACTTTACATCAATCGTTTACTATAATGACAGAGCTAGTTTGATGAAGAAAAAAATCAGTAAAGAGGGAAGATATTTCATTATTAAAATAATTGTATCATTCAGAACACATTTATCTATTGCAGGCATGTGAAACTTAAGAAATACAGTTTTAATTTACATATAAGTGGGACTGCATCGCCGTCATACCTGTTACTTCTCAGATTAGTACAAGTAGATCTGCATCTGGAAAAATTCTGGAACTAAATTTTGAAAATTTTCAAATCTTACCAACTGCCGGGATTCTTCTTTTATTGCAACACTAGATTTACTATCCGATTCCATTGTTGTTTTTGCAGAGTGAAATTCATCAACACGTACTTATCCTACATGAAGTTGCTGTACTACTTGCTAAAATGCATTGTTTTTCTAACCGTAATAAAACTGGTAGTATGAATATTATTAATTGTAATTGATACACGTGCAGTACAGTGTGGGTACAGCAACAGATTGGCAAATAATTCAATTGTCTGCATTCAACAAATTATAATAAACAATTATGTGAACAGATGGTCTTCAGACTTCAGTATTTACCTAAAATGAAAAACAAAAGAAAAAGATACACGTATGACGTAATCAATCGTATTTAAAACTACCTTTGATGAATGAACACCAGGTCAGTTCACAGCATAGGCAGCAACCTTGATGAACAAGAACTGTGTTGTTGTTGTTGTTGTTTTTTGCTGTACTCCCTGCACACAATTTACAATGCATACAGAATGTACGGCATTCAATCAAGCGTGTGTGCACGGTGTATGGAGGCCGGTACACCTGTTATTGTAAATAAAATAACAATGGCGCAAATTTGTATCATCGACAGCTAATGCCAGCTGTCCATGGGCCAGACTTTCGTGTCATTGATCGTACACGGCTCATGAGGCGTCGAACAGAAAATCCTGTCCAAATTGAGGACTGATTTTGGCAAAGATTAATGACACCCACAAACAGGCCTGCAGGCTGCAACGTGTACAAAATAAACATTATTTTGCACATGCAATAGCGCCCTCTATTGCCGACGGTCCATTTAATTCAATATGGCGGCGCCTATGGTTCGTCAGATTTTAACACAGAGTGCGAGAAATTCGCTCGTGTTTACGTCCTTCAGGAACAGATTTTCGACTGCTCAATGTCATTTGCAGCAGAACGAAACGGAAGAACTGGATAAGAATAAATATTTTGACAAATATGCGGACAAAATAAAGGAAATCCGCAGGTATAAAATTTGCGAGTTACGGACGCGCGGGGGGGGGGGGGGGGGACGGGTTAGCGCGGGGGGGGGGGGGGAGGACCCATCGTTTTTTAACGTGCGCCTACATTTTTTTTATCTGGTAGTACATACTTAACAGAGCTTGATAGCACAGTAACAATCTTAAAATTGTATTATGTAACTAGTCGTATGTATATTATCAGTATTTTTTTAGGCACACCCAACTTACCGTTTTTTTTTACATTCGGACATGGTCTGGCGATAGTCGCCACTGGCAACACCATGTCCGAATGTTACAAAGGTGATAAGTTGGGTCCAAGTTACTCGGACTAGGTCCAGTGAAGGTTGAAACTTGAAGTAATTTTTTTGCTTACATTTTTTGTTATAGTTCGGACCCTGAAAAATTTCAGTCCAAACTGCAGGACTTGAAGGAATCCAAGAAGGAGATGAAATGGCGAGATGAACAAGAATCTCTGAGACCAGCAGTAAGTTTTTTCCCTCACAACATTTATTCATTGTAAAAAAAAAAGAAGGCTTTTAATAATTGTAGAAATGCACAAAGATAAAACATTGTTTTTGTATGAAATCATGGTGGAGTCGCTTAGATCAGAGGGTAGGTCCACATTTGAGTGCTGGTTTCTAAGACATTTAGTGTGGGAATGGTGAAGTTCAAAGATAATCAAATTTGTTGTTTGGTGTTCATTCAAATCAAATACATTCAAATCAAATACATGTACTTGTAGATGTTTAAGAGACCATAAACCAGTTTTACTCGTTTAACAGACCCAGCCATAAAGCTTTGAGCATATTTATCCCTCTTTTCTATATTTACAGAAATCTGACACATCGCAACCACGGCTGCTTAAGACATCGCAACACACATCATCACAAAAAGTGGGTATCAAAATACAATATTTTGACAATTGTATACGGCAATTAAAATATGGGGAAAAACTGTTGGTGTTATATGCAATATGAAATGAGCACATGCTTTATTTTTGGAATATTGAGCGTAGTATGTCGGCAGCAAATCTATACACTCAGAATAAGGTAAGCTTGTATACTGCATTGCTTTTTGAATAACTTAATTTCAACATTTGGAACTGGTGCTGCATTTTCTATTCTTCTCCTGTGCAGTATTTGTTGATGAGCTAAATCTCTGATCTTATCATTTCTGTACTTTGTCCTTTTTGGATTTTGATTTAGAGTCTGGATTCCATCTTGAAGATTGACTTGATTCAGGATTTACCCAAAGAGGAAATTCAGAAGGTCTGTATGACACTGTGTATGTGTGGGGGAATTGAAAACGATTCCTATTTTTGATGTGGATTATAATTTTGTAGAGTGGTTCACCAGTTTTCACTTTGAGGAAAATTCACATTTTTTGGGGAGGGGGGGGGGGGGGTTGCCTGGTTAGATCCCACTAAAAATTCATCACCAGGAAAAAGTTATTTGAATTTATTTTGTTATTGTATTTTGAACAGATTTGGACCCAGTACCATGCCAAGAAAGACTGTATCAGTGCCGTTATACCGGTAAGTTGGGAATGTTAGCTTGTGAAATTGTGGCCAAAAAAAAAACTTCAAAAGGATAAAGTTCTGACTAAAAACAACAGTAAATAAGTACTCAAACCAATTGTACAAATTCACAAAATGTTCCACTTGACTAAATCTTTAAATCTACGCTTTTTGGTGAATCAAAAAGCAATTACAAAAGATATTTCTGACGTTCAAATCTTTTTCCTTTAGTCATCCCCGATAATGCTTTTTAACTTAAAAGATTTTTTTTAAATTTTCAATAGGGCATAACATACGACAAGATTTGTCAAACGGCTCGAGAAAACCCTTTGGTAAGTTGCAGTGATATTTTATTGTAGTATGAGCTGGTTTAATTTGTCAGTTTTGTTTTAACAATACTTTATTAATGTAATAGGCCTATAAGTTCACCAAGGTAGGGTTTTAGCAAGAAACACTGAAAACATAAAACAATTTCAATAAAATGAAACTTATTCAGATGTAATTATGACTATAAAATAAGCTATACAGTGAATATAGAAGTACCAATATTGATTATTGTAGAGTAATTTATTTACTTTCTTTCCTTTTCCGAGTTAATTTTAATCAATGTCTATTTGCTCATTTTGTTTCTTTTTCATTGTATAGTTCCTGTACCCACTGCCTAAGGAGAATGGTTATGAGTTCTTCTTTGCTCAATTTGATAATAATCACAGCTGCTACTTCACATCTCTCATCAACTACCAGGTAAGAATGGAAAAAAGGTGGAGGTTGTAAACAAGTGATCACAAGACAGTCACAAGTCAGTCACAAGTCAATCACAAGTCGGTCACAAGTCAGTCACAAGTCAGTCACAAGTCAGTCCCAATTCAGTCACAAGTCAGTCCCAAGTCAGTCCCAATTCAGTCACAGGTCAGTCACAAGTCAGTCACAATTCAGTCACAAGTCAGTCACATCTCAGTCACAGGTCAGTCACAAGTCAAGTCAAGAGTCAGTCACAATTCAGTCACAAGTCAGTCACAAGTCAGTCGCAAGTCAGTCGCAAGTCAGTCGCAATTCAGTCACAAGTCAGTCACAAGTCAGTCACAAGTCAGTCACAATTCAGTCACAAGTCAGTCACAAGTCAGTCACAAGTCAGTCCCAATTCAGTCACAATTCAGTCACAGGTCAGTCACAAGTCAGTCACAATTCAGTCACAAGTCAGTCACATCTCAGTCACAGGTCAGTCACAAGTCAAGTCAAGAGTCAGTCACAGTATTTTTCACGTAAATGTTATTCTTTATACTTTGTTCACAGGCATTTCAGGAGAATTCTCCAATACTTCTGAGCATGAAACACTACACAGAGCTGCAAAAGGAGAAAGGTACGTGACATGTCAGTCAAACACAATAATATCACTGTTGTGGTGGACACAAATGGCGCCCTCTGTAGACATCAAGCAGCAGGAAAGCAGCAGGAAAGATGTGTACATTGATGTCATTGCCTAATGGAGTTTAATTAGATGAGTTATTGCAGATTTCTGTGATGAACCTTTATTTTTTATCCATTTGATTCTTAGGTATCGTCCTTATGCGAGGAGAAATGGACACAAATGTGATGGTGAGACTTTTTTTACACAATATCTTGACTAATTAATTTCATCTTTTCTCGGTTGTACTTTTGTGAGTAGCCAAAATTGCCAATAATTATAAAACTTTTTAGTAAATGTATAACTTTCCTGTCTGCCTTTCAGCATAGATAAAATTGGACGCTCCCTACTGTAACATCCATCCCCCCACTCCCCCTCCCCATAAAGGGAAAACAAGGTGTAGGCACCTCAAAAATCCAACCATATTATAGCTTGAAAATTTTCTTGTTTTTTGGTGTGTGTGTGGTTGTGGGGGGTTTTTGGGGGGAGGGGTTTGAGGGGGAGCTGAACGCCATCTAACACATGGCGACACTGTTCATTGCTGATAGTGGAAGGACATGTCCCCTCACCGTGGCAATGGCTAGCAATAATTGTTGATACCAGCCATAGTCCAGTAATTCTGTTGCAATTTACTTGATCCCTTTTCGTCCTTTGACCATCACACCACAGAGTGTACAAAACGCGCAGTTCTTAGCCAATCAGCTACAGCTGTACTACGCGACGGACAACCCCGACCGGCTGAAACTGCTGCGGATATTCAACCACCGTCAGGATGAGTTCAGGCACATGGACGTCATCGCACAGCTAGAGAAAAGCACCTTTGAGCTTCCCACGACGTCAACCGACGGGAAAAGCTCATAACCCATAGTTGATTTGTAGCAGCGTGTTTGGTGGTCCCAAAGGGCCAGCTATAGTGTCTTCGTTGTTATCTCACTGATGGTCACTTGCGACTTAGCCTTGTTGTAGACTTGTTAAGAGAACCGGGCACTACTATTTTATATAATATTAATAGCAGGCATTTATATAACGCTTTTACGCCGGAAAGGGGGTATCAAAGCGCTTTACAGTTATTATTTTCCCTGTTTCAACTGGCAAACACTCCTGAAACTTCTCAACTCCCTGGGGAGCATACACGGCCAGTAGGCAGCCATATCGGCACTCTTGGCCGTAATCAATCTCACACAGTAACCAACACTGCCCTCACAGGTATCTACTCCTGGGTGGAGAGAAGCAATGAGTGACAAAGCGCCTTGCTCAAGGGCACACGCACCATAACCCCAGGCTGGACTCGAACCCACAACCTGCAGAATTACCCGCAGTCCACAAATCCAATGCTCCAGACCACTAGGCCACGGCACTCCATGGTATAGGATAACCCTGTTAAGCCAATGATTGGGCTGAATCCGGCCTATGGGCTCCGTGCGCAAGTACCCCATCAACTTGGAAAACTTTTTGGAAAATCAGACAGCGCTGGGCATGAATTGTACTTGAACCCTGAAAGAGGAGTACATTCTCTTTTTAGTTCAGTTTCGTTGCATTGTAATTACACCAGGGGTGTGAGTGACCACTGATAAAAATAGCTGAAAACAGCTGAAAAAAGGTGTACAAAAGCTGAACTTTGGATATCTCCTATACTTTTGTACACAGCAAGTGAGGGAAAAAGCTGGGAAAAAAGCTGAAATCCAAAACAAAAAAAGCTGAAATCAGCTTTAAAGCTGAGTTTTCACACCCCTGTTACACATTAAACCAGGGAGTAAGAAAGTTTTCAAGTTAGGATTTGTTTTAGTAATGTCATGATTATTGCACATAAGTACTGAAAAATATTTCTCAAGTTTGAAAATAGTCTCAATTTTTTTGGCTGTTTTCAGTGGTGAAATATTTGATACAGAAAGTATATGGTCGTGTGAAAGTCAAAAACAAAATGGGCAGTTGTTAAACTCCTTGAGAATTATAACAATCATTCCTTGACTGCTCAACTATTGGAAACTTTTAAGGTAAGGATGGAAACACATCATTTTGTTGATAAAAATATTTACTTTTATTTGTTTTTAGAGCTGCCACACAGCCTTTCCACATATAAATAACAAAAATGTATTCAAGAACTAGCTCTATATTATGTTAACAAACAGAAAATGTTTTACCCACTATTGATAACATGTTAATTTCAAGTTCCTGTAAGAAGCACAAACAGTTGGGGATGAAAAAAAAGACGCGTTAATTTTTACTTTAGGATAAAGTTAACCTTTTAAATACAAATAACTCACTTTTCAAATATTGGTTCTATAACAAAACTAGATTTTTGCTTTGCTTAACTTTCATTTGGGTCATTGTATAAATTTGGGGTCCCTTTTTTTGGTCTGTCAGTCCATTACATCTGACATCTATGATTTTATAATTCTAATGCGCTCCTTAATGCAGTCGTCCTCCAAGAGTGATTATTAAACTACCTACGTAACAAATAAAAAATCACTTGAAGTTATTTCTTTATGATTTTTGAATGGCAAATCATAAAATACCATTGTAACAGGGACAGGAAAAATGTCACACTTTGGACCCTGAATTTATAGAATAACCCATATGTAAATCTAACACAAGGCAGGCTACTCTTCAATCGTCACACCTTCTCCAAACAGTTTGTACAAGTGAAAATAAAGTTCTGCTGTTTTACTACAAACTTCGTTATAACAGTAATTCTGTTAGATATTGTCGTGTCAGTGCAACAAGGTCGTATCTCCTAAAATGGCATAAACCTAAAACGCGAGTTTTAGAATGTCAAAAGGTCGTATCTCGCTTAAAATAACCCTGATGCACACGCAAAGTTAATGGATATCGAGATATGACCTTGTTGCACAAAGCGTATTCGCGCGCGATACGACTTTGTTGCAGAGTCGAGTTACGGCCTTGTTGCACTGACGCGACGATATATAATGTACAGTATTGTTGGGTAAAAAACACCCACTTCACAAGAATATTGTAAATATTTCCGCTTCTCGGCAGAAAAATCATGCTTGGTTGAAATGCTTACCAGAACTGGTAACCAGTCGCAAGCAGTATACCTCACATGGCGTTTTAGTTGGTACCCTTTTTTGCTTAGTCAAACTGTCCTGTGCTTAACAAGTTTCATTGTGCCTTTCAACTTCATGAACTTGCACTGCGGCGTAAATTACATTTGCCAAGTATACTTCGTAAGGATACTTTACACAAATAGTAAAATATGAAATACTGGAAACGGAAAAAAAAGTTGAACAGTTTTGCATTGCCATGTCCAGTGCATTTCTGTGCAGAGAGAAAAATGACTTTAAACTGAAATGACCCTGTTTCCTGATATCAGTGAAATTATGGTCTTCATATTTTATAAAATTGACTTTGCAGGGAAAAAAGTCATAAGAGCTACATATTTCAAGCGGATATATTGTTTTTTAAAAGTTTAGTGTTTTTGAAAACAGGTAACGCACCATAAGTAAGCTGACATGAAGAAAAATACAGTGTACTAGACAAACTTTAATTTTAGTAATTAGTATATTTTACATGAACCTTTCGAATAAATTGCGTCCAAAATAAAGTCCAAATACACAAATATTATACAAATGTAATACAATGTATTTATTTGATTACTCTGGAAATGCATTCAGAATGACACGCAACCATGACTTACTATTCAAACCGGAATTCTTAACACATCTATTTTTTTTCCTTAAAATTTAAAAATCAGACTTGTCTGATAAAAGTCAAATGTAGGAAAACTGAATATAACATCACACACGAGAGAGAATTCCTGATCTAAAATGTTAATAAATACAGACAATGTCATTGCTACAAAACTTGAAAGAAGCCACGGTATATCATATACATTATACTACAAGAAACCAAAATATTTTCCGAGTATATTCAAATCTGTTCTTCTGTTTCATAACTTATTTTTCACATTCACAATCTGAGGAAATATTTGACACAGATATTTTGCAACGTTAATACCTTTTTAAGTTAAAAACAACTCATTACTTTGCTGAATAAAGTATCTGCAATTATTGCTTTTTGTTGGTTCCTAGTGGGAAAATAATCATCTACTTTTAAGAGTTCTTGCTTTTTCAATGCCGGAAAACACTTGCAACATTGTTCTGTGAAAAGTGGTTGAAATTTAATGAAAATCGAACTTCCCCTGCATCATGCATTTCATAATAACTTCCATGCAACTAATGACAACATATAACTGATACATACAATAATTACCGAGAATGTACCTTATTAGGGGGACATTCCCATAGGGTTGTGCACAAACATTTTCCAACTTTGATGAGCCCCAACCCCTTTCTACAAATTTTGGTACGTTTATGTTTTGGACCAGGAGCAATCGATCTGGCTATTTGCGACAAATATTGTGCCTCTAAATAGGAGTTGTGACATTAGGAAGACATTGAAATGTCTCCTTAATATACTAAGGTATAATTTATGAAGAAAAAAAGGCTCCTCAAGGGTGCATCTGTACGTATATATTTGCTTATATTTATTTTTATAGTGGATGAAAGTAAAAGTCACTCACTGTAATTTCAAAAACAAAAATAAAATTGGCAAAACAAGGAAAATGTGCGCATCTTTTTTCTTTTTTTTTGACTTGCAAACAATTGCAGTCACTAGTTTACTTCATATATCAATTTCTAATAATACAGGTAACTGCTCAAATGTTAGCTGAAATAAATTTACAAAATCCCGCACAAACCCAACTCGCCACATCTCTCACAACAGGCTTACTGAGGTTGAGATGAACTGTGGCCCAAACTTATATTTCACTTTCAAAATGGACACCTTTCATGCCTAAAGAAAACACTAAAATACTGCCTTTTATATTACTTCATGTAAAAAGTAAAAACATGCATATTCTACATTGTCAGATACTGACAACTTCTCTCACTTCAAGAAAATAAATCTTGAAAACCAAAAAAAAAAAAAAAAAAAAAAAAAAAAACCAAAAAAAAAAAGTATGGCACATGAAACTACTGCTTTAAATGCTTCCAAGTTCAACGGTCATATATTCAGATATGTGTGAATTTGTTTGATTTTGACAATTGAAAAAAACAAACTAAACAAACCCTTCAAATGCTGATGTTGACGAAAAACTGTATCACACGATAGGATCACATGACCTCAAGTTGTTTCCATGGTGACTAGACAAATATTCAATTCTCAGTACCTCTCTATATTGTTACAAGTGAGTTTCAGTTTAAAAAAAAAGGTTTACCTACAAATAATTGTACAAGTTTTGGCGGCACTTTAAATGCAGTGTGGCCCCCAGATGATTCTGCCGCTAGGGTAGTGATGCTTGAGAGCCCTGTGGAGCTCGTCAGAGTGTTCCTGGTCGCGTGTCTCCACAACGCATTTCACCTGTTTGGATAAATAAGGGACTAGGACTCAGTGGACTCCGTGTATACACAAAGAGGGCGGTATACAGCTTAACAAAGAGGGGGTTTGAAGGACATGTGGACTTCAAAAATGTTAAGTGTCATTGTCTGATCATTTCAGGATACACAATGTCCTCTAGAAACCTAAGGAGTCATCCCGATAATAAACCTGGAAAGATTGCAGAAAAAAGTTCGCCCAAATGTCTCACTTTAATTTTCTAATTTTCAGTCTGCAATATCTGTTGCGTGAACTGTCATGCTCAGTCAAGTATTGGCTAATTAAGGGGATATTTTCTCCACAAATCAGAGATTTTTATCAACATGACTCTTGTCCATTCAGTACATTTACGTCAACTTACCTCAACGTCAACTTACAAAACAGGGTGCTTTGTTATAGTCATCTGCAAGTATCTATTAAATGAAAACAATTTACCTGAACATTGAAGATTTCACTCTTGAGGAACGCTCTCTCGTGGAAGATATCCTTGATGCTGGGAAATAAAGACATTTGTCAAAGTTGACATGAATATTTTACACTACTTCTTAAGACATTTTCAAGAGTCATTAAAAAAAAATATTCTTAAAATGGATACCCCATTCTGATCTTCAAAAAATGGACTTTTTTTTTCTCCTTACGTAAAAAATTATGTGTACTAATTTCGATTTTGGGCGTCTGCAACACTCTGAAAAAGGGCTTTCATTTTGTTAGAGCCAAATTATTGTCTGGCAGCCAATAAGTCAAATTTTGTAAAGAAATAATTCAAATAATTCAATAATTAAACATAACAGGATTTTTTTTGTTCAATGTCTCATTCAAAAATTCTAGCAATTAAACAAACCTGTTTTATTCGAGGTGAAATTTGAAAAAAAGGCACGGTGAACGCATCTTTAAATTTATTTTATATTCAGAGCAATTCAAAGGATTATGTAACTGGAAGAAGGAACACTCTTAAAAAAAATAATCTTGTGATTTCAGAATGAAAATTAAATAAAGAAGTGGATCATACAGTGTTCAGATATTCCATCCTGTTTCCAAATGCAACTTATTCAACTGTGATAAAGGAATTATCTTTCCAATTTGCTGTGATTTGTATTATGATTGACTGGCTTACAGCTCTGGCCAAGTTCGGGCAAGGACCATTAGTCGACTAGTGGTTGATTTGTGACGTACCTTACGCCTGCGCGCTGATAGCAACGTGCGAACGTCTCTAGTCAAACGCTGGTCAAAATGTCATCGCAAAACTTCTGGATCCTTGCTCTCTGCTAGCGTTATGGATGCGCGCGGCTATTGGTTACCAGCAAAGCAACCAACCCCAGTAGGCTGGTTCCAAATAGTCGACTAGCGTAGTCAACCACTGTTGACTAGACAGAGTTCGGGCAAACGTTAGTTAACCATTGGTCAACTATAGTCCTTGCGCGAACTTGGCCTCTGTTGCTGAAATAAACAGCGCCCTCTTGCGGTACTGTACATACCTGATACCCATGGAGCTGATGATGGTGGCAAGTTCTGTGATCCCCCCGGGCCTGTCGCTGACGGTCACCACGAAGCGAGCCAGGCGGCCGTCTGCAGCCAGGCCTCGCTCCAACACGCGGCCCAGGACCGTGGTGTCTATGTTACCCCCGCACAGCGGAATGGCAACCCTGCGGGTCAACAAAATCAGACAAGACATCTTGAATTTTCGTTTGCAATTTCCCCTGTTAGATTTGTGCTATTTTGTGGTTGGCAGACTATGGGTAGCCATTGTTGATTTAAAAAAGCTTAAATGAGAAATTTTATATCAACTATTTGTAAGATGGAAATTGGGCACAGGGAAATTTGGAACAGGGCACGTGTGGTCTAGTGGTGGAGCACAGGATTCACGATCGTGAGGTTGTGGGTTGAGCCCTAGCCGTGGCCATGCGTGTTGTGCCCTTGAGTAAGGCGCTTTACCTCAATTACTCCTCTCAACCCAAGAGTTAAATGGGTACCGGCATTATTCAATGCTGGGAAGGTAACAGACTCACTGTGGAGGAGGTGTGGCGATCCCCCACAGCAGCATATGAGTCTGGCCCAATCACTAACGAAAGAGAGATGGGCACTCCGTTCCTGTGAACACAGGTTCGTCCCCCCTTTACCAGTCAGGGATCACTCAGTGAATAAGTCAGCTTCTGATGCAAATCATCCACACACAAAAACTGAGGCATTCAAAGGAAATTAACCCAGGCACGACGCTAATGTGATCAAATGTTGGAATCCAGTTCCCTGTTTCCCTAAGAAAAGATTTCTCTGATATTTTGATGTCTTGTGGCAACTCACTTCTTGCCCTTGAGTTCCGGCAGCTTGTCTCCAAGGAGCGCGGCCAGTCCAGCCACACCGGCGCCCTCTACGACCGCCTTCTCCATCTCAATCAGCCTCAGGATGGCCAGGGCGATCAGATCCTCACTGCATCACAAAGGACAAACCCAGACACAATCAAACAGGTGCAAGAATGATATTACCTTCAAGGTTTTTTTGTGTTTTGGGAATTCAAAGTTTAACACAAACAAAATCAGTCAAAGAGAAAGGCCATTCTTAATGCGGGATTTCTAAAACCTTTGCTGTGTCCCTGGCTTCAACTCCAGGAGATTTTAGCGCCTCATTTTGGCCACTCCAGCACAATATGTGTCCATGATCTTCTTCGGGAATATCAAATCAAATCTGCTGCCAAATTATGATTTTGGATATTAAAGGTGTCTAAATTCTCAAGCAAGGGATAAAGCCACAGCAGAGACGAAGCAAATGTTTTCAAAATCATCCTTGGGATGACCTGAAAGTTTGTACACAAAAATAACATCATACTTTATCGCAGCAAGCCCTGAAGAAATCTTGAGCTACACAATAAAATGTGTAGTTTTCTTAAGGTAATTTGGGTATCTGTTAGCCTGTGATCCCACAGCTGGAGCCTTAAGTTATAACATTGGGATTATTTCATTTTTGTGGAAAAAAGGAGCTTCTGCTGAGCCTACCTGACAACCACCATCTTATCGACGTAGTTCTTGGCCGTAGCGAATGCATTCACACCAACAGTGGGTACTGCAAGACCTAAATAGCAACAACGAGAAAACAAACATTCCGCTTCTTAATGTCGTTAGATACGGCACAGTGCAACTATAATGTATGCTGTGTATGTATACAAGCATGCATCAATGATAAAACTGTAAATCATGCCTCTAATGAAAGGACACTTAGGTCGTGTCAGTACGTGTGATGATGTAAATTCATCCATTTCACTAAAAGAGGAGGAGCCACACCGTTCAGTGCGACCTTTGACCTACCATCAGCCAATGAGGGGCCAGACCGGGTCCATATGGGATGGCCTGCATCTAAGGCAGCGGAGAAGCTGGGGCACTGTTCACTTTCAACTCCCTGTAAAAATAGTGTTCAAAAAATAAATAAATAAATAAACAGACACAATAATGATAAAGTTCTCTAATGCCATATCTATACATGTTAATAACAACCAATGTATATAATTTCACATCAACAAATAATGAGTTAAATACAACTGGTTGTTTAGCTGATACTATTAACTTTCATTTAGTATACATATAATACTTGACCAGCATTGCATAAATGTAAGACATTCTGGTCAATCTTAAAATTAATGTGGCCTGACGTTGCGAACTTAGCAAGTTCTTCTTCAGAGGCTAAAACTGTTTTAGCCTCTGAAGAAGAACTTGCTAAGTTCGCAACGTCAGGCCACATTAATTTTAAGATTTATATATTTCAGGTCCATCCAGTCACTAAGCAGTTTGCAGCAGTTTTACTTTTTTACATTCTGGTCAAATGAGACAGAACTGGGCAGATGTCAAAATGAGGGTTTGCGGATATTAGGAAAGAGAATAAAATGCTTCTCACAATACTGATTGTTGCACTTCAATCGGACATTCCGTTGACAAGTTATGGCTGTTTAAAGTTCGCATTTTATCAACATGTCAAAACGTAAAATGCTGAGAAAAAGGCCTTTCCAATATTAGTTTTGTAGACGTGAAAGTGAAAGATGCCAATTTTTTCCCTTAAAAAATGCTTTAATTCCACAAGTTTTTACACTATTTCTTTAAAATATGTGTAGTAGATGTATCAATGGTTACAAATATCAATAATTCGAAAAATCGAAAAGAAATCAGCCTCATTCATTTTTTTGCATTTTTCTCCACTACGGCCTGTGTCAATTTCGTTTCATTTTGCCAGAATGCCACACAAATGTCACAAAAGCATGTACAACCCAGTACCCGCCCTATGGTAAATGAATGGCATGAAATCTTGGTGGTGCTTACAATGATAGCTGTTCTAGGGGAAAGGCTTTTCACCGCTAGCGCCACCCCAGCGATGAGACCGGCTCCTCCCACTGGAACGATAACGGCATCCAAGTCAGGGACCTGCTCAACAATCTCCAATCCCATGGTGCCTTGCCCTGAAATGATGTGGGGGTTGTCGTAGCTGAATGCAGGGAATGAAACAAAAATCAAAATCAACGATGTACATGTTGATGTTTCAAATGGACACATTTCTCTTTTTTGTTTGTTCAACCCTTCCCCCATACATTGCAATATTAACATTACAGGCTTTCAAGCAGATCCAGGTGAAAAAGTAGGAGAATTGAAATTTAAAAAAAAGAACAAAAGTAGAACTTTGGAGGACAAAATCAGGATAAAAGTAGGAGTTTTGCAGGCTTTCAGGAGTAGTTTTCCTTGATACTCGCCCATGTCCACAGCATCATAAGCCTCATTTGGCATGTTCTGTACTCACAACACTTGTGCTCCACCCTCAACTAAGCTCTTGGAAGTACAGTTGCAGTACTCCTGCGCCCAAGCCCTTCATTGTGTGATTTACATATGACAGTAACACTGTCATGAAAAAATATTCAATGAGATTTCATTTTGGAGAGTTGTGAGACAAAAAAGTCGAAAACCTAGGAATTTCAAGAAAAAGTAGTAAAAGTAGGAGCGGGGTAAGAAAAACTAGGACAAAGTAGAAATACAGTTTAATTGAATAACTTGTGACTCGACTTTTGACTGGATGGATTGTGATAGACTTGCGATGGACTAGTGAGAATTGTTGACAAACTTTACTACTAATGCCCAATCATTATACACGCACTGGAAATAATTCAAATTCCTCATTCAAACGACCAAGAACTCAATAATATAACAACTTTCAATACTTACCCATTGATATACATTAATCCTTTGTTCTTGCCAATCCGCAAGGCATAGGTCTTTGACTAAAAAAAACATATAAAACAGTCAACTTTTAGTACAAAAAATACAGAAGTGTTCAAAGTGCAATGGGAAGTATTTGAGTTTTGAGAAAGAGACGTCATTGCCAGAAATGGTTGAACTCTTAGAAATGTGCCTGAAGCAACAGAAATGAGATTTTTTTTGTTTCCACCTGGAAAAAAGAAACGTTTTCCATGAAAAAAAAACTGAGTATCCCATTCTATAACTGTTCTGATTTTCAGTAGGCAAAACACAACCAAGCTAAATTTCCAAAAACTTAACCTATTGGAACTACAAGAACAGTCACACTTTACCATATTTTTCTTAATCATTTTTCTGTTTTTCCCCATCATTTCATTCAGTCAACTTCACAACAGGAAATCTTAAAACCACAGATAGTTCATCCATACCTCTAAAATAACCACTGTCCTGCCACATCCTTCAAAAACAACGCAAACTTGCTTTCATGTTGTTCACTCAAGGATTATCAAACGTATTTCCTGGTAGCAGTGAGCTTTTTGATAGTGCTTTTGGTTTGGAATGTCATTGAAAAAAAAAATCACACTCACATCTTCTTTTTAATTTCGCTGAAGGGTACTAAGCCCATAAACTGTTAAATCATGTTGACTTTTAGTAATAAAAGCAGTCATCAACATTTTGACAGGAATGCCCAAGTTACACTTCCTTCTTGTAATCGATTTAAATTACACGTTTGTTATCGATAAACACAGTTGTGGCATACTCTTTCAACTTTCGGTTCTGAGCTTGGACAAGCTCGGGTTCTTTTTATAAGTTCAATTCAGCCGAACATTTTGCAATCCTTTCTGCAAATCCCCAGGCTTCAGAAATTGTAGTGAACATGGCAGGTTTTTAAGGACTTCCCAGCTTTTATAATCACAACTAAGAAATACTTGGCCATCTTCCAAATTTTACAGCGGTTTCCCAACATTCTCTGCATTCAAAGCTCTAAATGTGACATTTCCTGAGAGCATGGATTTTCCTTCTTCAGTAAGGCTTAAAAAAATAGTTCTGCTTCTGATTACATGGCATTTGAAAAATACCGACAGGTAGGTAGTGATTTTTGTTTTTTTGGCAAATTTATTTTGTGTACGATCATGTGGAGGCTTCTGCGTGTAGTCAAGGGTAAAAGGTAGAAATTGATGGTTTTGGGTGCTTTTTCTCATTTTTCCAATAACAAAAATAAGGTAGGGGCTGTCAGAATAGGGTAGGTAGGGAAACCGGAAACAATTTTTTTTTTTTTTGGCCTAAATGGTCACAGTTCTTTCAACCTTCCAAATTTTACAGTGGTGTCTCCAAATTGTTTCAATGAAAAGCGCTAAAAATATGAAATTTTCTTGAATACAACAGAGAACATGCATTTTCCATCTTTAAGACAATAGTACTGTCACATGAATTTTTGACCCATCATGAATGTGGGAAAAGTACCTTTTTTTTTTGGAATTTGATAATTTTACACATTGTTTTTTATCCAAATTGCAATTTGATCATCCTCTTTTTCTACATGAAATACAAAGTCAAGCAAATTCTTTCTAGAAACTTCATGCTTGGTTCCTCGTTCTGCACACAGAAAACCACATGTATTCTTGGTAGCTCTCTTCAGCCTTTGGTCACAACCAAGGAAGCAAGAAAAACCCTGCAACCCCCCCCCCCCCCCCTTCCTTAAAATTGGAGTAACCACACCCACCTCTCCCAAGTCCTGTCCATGGATGATCACAGTGGCGCCGTTCTGCTTGCATCTGTTGATCTTCATGATGGGAGCAATGATTGGCATGACAACGGTTACATGGATACCAAGGCTCTGCCCGTGATAGGACAGTGCCAAGGCGTGGTTGCCCGCCGACGCTGCAATCACGCCTTTCTGTTTCTGCTCCTAAGGACAGAAATGTCAAATGGTGTATAAGTAAAGCGAAATTGAAATGTTGAACATTTGGTACTGAAATGTTCTCTCTATTACAGAGTAATGCCATGCCATTGTCTGTAACGTTTCATGATACCAACTGCACATTTAGTTTTCTTATTACATGTACTTAAAACTGGGAAAACCTTTCCAATTATATTGTTAATTCTTTAAAGACTTTTTTTGTTAAAGATTTGAACACCACAAGCCATAAGCAAGTTTTTGTCCGGTTTGTATTTTATTTCAACAACCACTACATCAAACAGCCTGTCAAATGTTACAAACAAACAAAATGTCTGATGCAGAAACACCCTATTTCATTGTAGTGATTTTCTCAACAATCTTAACAGACATCATGTGAAGATTTCTTTTGGCAGACACATCACATTTGTGATGCGATCAGGCTACATGAGTCGATTGTCGGGAATTTTCATTTGGAGATTCAGGCCAAAATAGGGCCACTTCATCACATCACTTCATCACATCTCTTAGCGTTCCGACTTCCATAATTTTTAAACTAATGATGGTACTCGCATGCGGTTTTCACAGCAGTAATGCTGAGATTGTGCTCTTTTTTCAAATGTGTAAAAAAAAATTGACCACGGTCGACAAACGACTCATTTAGCTTGATCGCATCACATTTGTTGATTCTTTGTCTACAAGAAAAGAGTGACATTCATTATACCGGTACATACCTCTGATAGGGTCAGAAGAGTGTTGCGAGCTCCACGTTCCTTGAAACTGTCATGAGAAAAAAATCAAGGTGAAAAACTGCAGATTTTGGAGTTTAATAGGTTTACAAGATATATCAGCACATTCATCACACGTAACTAAAAAAGATAACGCATGAATTAAACATCAAAGAATAATATAGGAAAGAATGTTGCATCCCGACACCACTTTGTTTCATCATATATCATCTCAAAGGTGGTCAGTCATTGCAAAAATGTTGAAAAGACATGAATCTGGGACTGAGAAACTTTTCCAATTTTGTTAGAAAATACTTTGAAATTCTTCTTGACTGTCCATAGACTTTGTTCACAACCAACAAAGTGGCGTCTGGATACTATAATGCATTCTTCCTGCTGACATGTTACCCTAAAAACCTGACAGAATTTGAACATCAGCCCAATTCAAAGTTGTAAGATGCCTATCCTGTGCTCTTCAAAAAATTGTGTTTTTTTTCTCCTAAACAAATTTCAATTTTAATGAAGTAGTTTTTTCCGGGTATTTAGCCAAGACCATGACTACATGTACTTCATTCTGATTTTGGGGTCTGCAACCAATGATGCAAATTTTGCGAAGAAATAATTCAATGAGTAAATGTTGGTGGGTTTTTTTGTTCAATGTCTCATTCAGAAGTGAATAACGTTTATATTGCTATGAATATAGCAATTGAAAAAAATTCATTTTGGAGGTGAACGAGGAATCTTTAAGTTGATCAAAAAGCTGTGCGCAGTTATTTAGTTTGCAAAATTATTATTATTTTGAAGATGAAAAGCAATGGTCGGTTTGTCATACACACCTGCCAGTTGCCTGCAGGAAATCTTTCTTAAAGTAAACCTCCATGCCTACAATACTCGAGATCTGGGATTTCTGAAACAAACAAAAAGGGGCCAAAAATCAGAACATATCTAGACACACAAGCTCATGGTACATGTTAACACTTATTGAATCTGACTGCCCCTATTACTTCCAGGGGAAATAAACACATTAGTGCCCTCTTTTCCAATCAATATACAGTTTGTGCATCATGATGCAGTTGTGACATATTTTCGTAATTCCACACTCGAGTCACAATTTTCCTGGGGCAATAGTCACACTAGTGAACTCTTCAAAAGTCAATATACACTTGCATGGTTTATATCAAGCATCTCAGAATATTTATCTCATCCAACAAGGGGTGTGGTGAATTCCACACACAAGTCACAATTTTTGTTGAGGGCAATAGTCACACTAGTGCCCTCTTTACAAGTCAATATACCCATGCACTGTTAACATGCAGTGATGTATTCTTACCTGGCAAGGAGTGCGGTGAACTCCGCTCTTTATCTTGTAAGCTGCAGCGCTCACATCCTGAAATTTAACAATGATTGGATTGTCTGGGTCGCAGAATTCATCTTTCAAATCTTCCTCCTCCACCAAATCATTCATGGCTGAGTTTTCAGGGTCTAGTTCCATTTTGATCTCTCCGGCGGCATCTGCCGAATCACCAGGAGACGGAGGTATAAGGTCTTGAATCGGCATCGCAGGGGGGACGGAGTCGACCAATCAGACGCGAGGGCTGACCGACCACCGAGTGCTAGAACAAAACTGGGGTTTCCCAATTACCTGAAAGAACCAATCAACGAAAAGGAAAATGTAAGGGAAATACCACCGACACGTCATCTAACCACTGTTGACTTGGGTAACGACACAAACTCACACATGACTTTCTGCCAAGTCACGTAAATGCTTTTGTAATATTTTGTTTCCTAGGATAGAATTTTCTGGTGTACCAAGAAAAGTACTGTTTGAATTTCAGTTGCGCAAAAACATGGGGAAATTTCCAAGTTGCCAACTTTAGATTTGGAAAGTCCAAAGAGGGAATAACCTCAGTGAATAAGGCAAGGTATGCAATACTTATTTCAAGGTGGATATTCATGAAAAAAAATATAACGGATGCATACATGTGTACCTATATGTTCCCCAATACCTATGTTCCCCAATATCGATGTTCCCCGAAATCCTTACCCTAGCCCTGGCCTAACCCTAATCCTAAGGATTTTGGGGAACATCGGTATTGGGGAACATTTAGGTATTGAGGAACATCGGGTAGGCCCCAAATAAACTTATCATTGATACCACAATTGCACAGGATCTCGGACCGTTGCAAACCTAGGGGTAATTTGTTTTATCAGCTTGTCGGTCGATCCTAGCTGCATCTTCTGTCAGGCCTGTAACCAGGAGGCGGGGGGGGGGGGGGGGGGGATCAAATGACAACACCCCCCCAAAAAAAAAAACACCGGCCACAGATGCATTCTTTCCTTCCAATTGTGTATTTCCATGCGTAACCAACTGTTTATTACATATGAAAAGGTCCACTTTACGGTGTAATGGTCGACTTTATGGTGAATTAAAGGTGCACTTTGTGGTAAAAATGACCCACCCCTCCAACCAGGCTGGCCACGCCCCTGTCAACACCTGTCTTGTGTTACAGCAATAACTCAATTACTCTGAGGATGTTGCATTTGAATCTGGAAATGAAATTAGACAGAACCTGGGCAACAGGCAAAGTTTCAAATTATCTTTGCAAAAAAATATTGATCAAAACTCATTCAAACTGTGTCTCCTGCACTGTAGCAGGACTGCCATCTGCAGTTGGGTAATGAGTGTTAGGAAGCGGGAGGCCCTTTTTCCTTCTTTTTTCCCCCTCCAAAATGGCCGCCCAACCGGGCTGTTTTTTAAGATGGCCACCAGTTTTTTTATTAAATGGCCACCATTGGACTCAGGAAATGACATGCCAGCTTTAAATGGGCTAGATGCAACAAAACAACTTTAAATGGGCTAGAGGACAAAATTATGTCGCTGTTTGAAATTTATCATTTATTCGGTTAAAAAAAAAAAGGAAGGAGGCGGCCTCCAAAAAGGAAGCGGGCGGGGATGCTTAACATGTTTGCTTTTTAATTTGGCCTTATGTGTACATGTACTATGCAGAATTTTGCAGATGTACAATAATGTACTGGTATACATCCTGTCGGTTATTCTATAAATTTGGGGTCCACTTTCATCCCGTCCCTGTTACATCTGATATTTCTGATATGTGTGGATGCATATCCCATTTGTAGTCGTCCTCCAAGAGTGATTATGAATAGCAAACAACAAACCCAACAAATAAGTCATTTTAATGATTCTTGTATGGCAAAGAAAGTACCAAGGTATATATAGCACTAGGACATGAAAATAGTGTCACCCGTCGGAGAGACCCAAAATGTACAGAATGCCCCATAAATGTTAATGGTGGATCCATGTGGTTATGGAATTTCTATGAATAAAGTCATCACTTAATATTTTAAAGCTTGATTCATGGTTTCAGCCCTTTCCTATTTTTATGCTTGACTGCAACACCTTGCTTCCCCAAACACCCCCTCCCCCTCTTCCCTTTTGAAAAATCTTGGCCCTCAATACGCACCATACCCCCTTTGGAAATTCCTGGAACTGCTACTGTATGATGTATCCATATTCATGCATTTTGTAAACCCATTTACCATGACCACTCATTACGAATCCTAACAGAAAATAATCTAACCAGCTGCTATTGTGTTCGGACTTGTGGCATTATGAAAGCCTACTCACTAGGTCAAGGCCGATTGAAGCCCATTAATATAAAATTCACATAAATTTATCAGCGAGTATTTGAAGTATGCATGTTGATAGTAACTATATACAATGTAAATGCATTTATAAATATTGTTGTAGGACTTGTATACAACTGACAAAATCTTAATGAATATTTATTGGACTCCTCTTCAAGCACATGAATTTACAACGTAGCTCCATCACAGACAACACACTTACAATTTGTCGAGCGACATATAGGGTTAGGGTTAGGTACCGTACATGTAAGGTCCAAATATTTAAGCTGAACAATTCTGTTGGTGTGAATTGAGTTCTGGTTTTTCCATTGATAATACAACTATGGTAATTATTAAAACTAGAATAAAGGCTCTAGGTCATTTGAGTCAAATTGGGACAAGCCTACCATTTTTGTGACTCTAGCTAGGCCCATATAAAGAACACAACAGGAACATCCCCCAATTTGCTCTCCTCTGACTGTACAATGTAACTGCATTTACTTGTTAGTGGTCCTCTTGATCATAAATATAGCCTGACCATTCAACTTATCAGAGAGTTCCCACCATTTTTTATTCAACATTTAAAGCTAGCATGGCTAGTGTTTTTTTGAAGGCCCAGTGGTCACTGAATCCTGCAAACTATAGGGCCTACCCAGTCATTGGGAGGGCATTTCATGCGGCACCTCACTCATCACTTTTTGTTGTCATGACTAGACTGTGAGCTGGATGGGAATCTCCGATTTCTCCCACGTACCTCTAGATTGACTTCTCCTTTTGAGAATTTACTACAATTTGTCCCAATAAAAGAAACTGTAATTGCACATGTGTGAGGAAAAATTAAATTAAAAAAATTAGAGCACGAAGAATTTGAAAGATGACAGTGTTCATCATTGTAGTGTTCTACGCCTACCCTTTCTCCAACCTTTCTCAACAAAGCATGTCGACTCAACAAGATGGTGACTCAAAAACGGAAAACCCCGAAACATTCTAGCTGTCATAAAATGTTGGTGTAAATATTTCATTTACAAATTCTATTGCAGTACATTCTTGGAAATCCTTAACGAGCACATGCTGGGGGGGGGGGGGGGAAATTACAGTGAATTGTATTTGCACAGCATTTATGTAGCGACAAAAAATGTTAACGTGACACTTAAAATTCCCGTCCAAATTGTCCAAGAACAATTATAGAAACAGTTCGTAGAAACAGTTTGAAATATCAAGGCACGCAATACACCGTACATTACAAACACCAAGGACGTATTTCCCCCTAGAAATTCACCTGCACATCGTGGCCTGACGTTCATAGAAAGCCTTCTCCAACCTCCAAGACCACAGTGGTGTGTTAACAACCCACAGGCAAGCTCAGCTGTTAGTGAGCCAGTCAGTAAACACCAGCCTCCAAAGCTGGTGACCTTAAGCAATTGTCTGGATTTCAATGTAGGGCCTACTGCATGAATAATTATTTGCCTTGTGGGTGTTTAATGGGATGGGCACGACACGCTTCAATGCTATTGGCTGACGGTTGAATATCTTCTATTCCTGGGTGAGCCCCGGTTTATGTAGGTTAAAAAAAAATAAGGAAAAAATTGTATATGGGGAAACAAGTATGGTTTTTAAGACTTAACCGTAAGTGTCAAAGTGTGGGATTTCTTCAATACGGTACAACATGTAGTACGTACATACATGCATGTCACAATTTCTAAGTTGTTTACTACATTTTTGTAAGTACAGAGGGAAATGTGGTCTTTAATTTTACTGTCAACAGCTGATTGTACCAAACTTAATAAACATATCCCCACTTATTTCTCCAGAAATAACAGACCATATTGCGATCTACATATTGTGACACAGCATTCTAAAAGGCAGATACATGTATCTTTCCCTATATTTATTGTCATTGTAAGTGTTTTTAGTGACTTATTCTAGGGCATTAATTCCCAATTGTTTTCTGGTGAGACACATTCATGTGCGAAAAAGTCGTGTGGCATAACTTATCTTCATAAACTTACTGAAATTGTTTGGGGGGAAGGGGAAGGCCTTTTTTTTCTTCTTCTTTTTTCTCTTTTGAATTACTTTGGTTTTGCAGAGGAATTATTCTCAATTTGTGTTTCGATTTTTCTTTTCGTGTATGATATAATTAAATCAACATAATCAACTTGTCAAGTTTAGATTTGTAAATTTTTGCAGAGAATCCCTAAATGAGGCAATGCCTGAATATAAACTGTCGTCAAAGCCAGAGGGCCCATATATCATATACCACGACCACTGCAAACAGTACTAACAAAAGACATCAAGCTCCCATTGTGTTTCGTTCAATTCATGGATCCTGACAATTTTTTTCAAATCTCTTTAATGGTTCTGTAAATAGAAACTCTTGCTCGCTTTAATAGTCGCAATTTCTGGTCTGTGACCTTACACATAGATTTTTAACTAAATACATCCGCTCTCTGCACCACCATGGTCAAAGTAAGGGATGACCAATATTTGCAAGGACACTTGTTGCAATCTACATATTGACCAGATGATTATGGGTTTACAACGCAGGAAATGAGCTTGCCTAACAAACTGTCAACTAAGGGTACAAAATGTTTCTGTGGTGAATTTGTCCACAACTTCAACAGCACGCAACAGCCAAAGTGTTTGTGCAGCTCATGTGAAAACTAAAAACTCTTAGTCATAACTTAAAATTGCCAATACAAATATATTGGTTTGCAGTCAATGACCTCTGTTCAGATGTTAAAGTTGCTTTACCCCTGCTTTTCAAAAAATTTGACTTATTTCTGTCTTGAGTTCAAAAAGATACATTTCGCTTTAAATTGAAAAAAAAAATCTACATTTTGGGGTGAAAGTCTGTGGTAAGCCTAAGGCGCCTTTACATGCCTTTGGCTGGACCACATTTTGGCTGCGTCCTTCGCAATTCAGCTTCTGTTGTGAGTAGGGACGATAAGCCGCCCCCCCCCCCCCCCCCAAAAAAGTTTAAGGATAGTGAAAGTTGTGCCACTTTTGTTAGCACATGGTTTCCAACTGACATGACTGATGACTTTAACAACTTGAATTGGCCAGACATCTCTCAATGACTATGTCTGATTCAGATACCACTTCCACAGGAAAAGTTGTTAGTAATCGTGGTAATGGGAAATGGTTCATGAGGTACATGTATATATTTTCTCAAGGGAATGTTCAATCATTAATGGCACATTATCAAGGTATTCACATTGCAACAGTCTTAAAGATCAAGGATTATGAATTATGAAGTTTACATAAATTAAATTTGGAAAAAATTTAAAATGAAGCACTTTGACTACTTCATTAAAGGGACACTAGGTCCTGGAACAGCCCAATTGGGCTACAAAACGCGCTTTGAACGAGATGATGATAATCGGAAATAACTTTTAAAAGTAGGATATAAACATCCACACAACTATCCTTTCAAAACTGGGCGTTTTTGCGTTATTCCTGTATTATGCGTGCGAGAACCAATTTCGGGGTCCACTTTTGCGACCCCATAAATTCGAGCTGTTTGGATGCTAGTTGTGATTTCATTCGTACGCATAAAGTGTTCGCCTTTTGCGGACGTTGAAGAAACCACAATATTTTGCTTTGGTGATTGGTCACCAAGCGCTGTTCCCGAGACACACAACGTGTATAGCGTACACTGAGAACGACACGAAAAACGTATTCGTACTCCGTCATGTCCGATGTAAACAAGTGGGGTTTTTTCGTCTTTTCTCGGGAACGGTAAGACATTAGGTTGGTTTCCTTTCAACTAGATGTTTGAAATAGGCTAAGTAAACAATCCAAAACATAAAATTTTGGGGGATTTCAGGACCTAGTGCCCCTTTAAGAAACATACAGTTTATACAGAGTCTACCAATGAACCTTTTACTTTTAGAAGGAAAAACAAACACATTTTATTTACCGTAAGATGTCAGATTTTAAATCCGTCTGCTAACTTTTTTAGGTGATTTGTAAAAAAAAATTCAAATTTTGACATTTTTCAAAAAATACCTATTGCCCACAATTTTAAACGAAGAAAATATATTGGTTTTTTTTTGGGGGGGGGGACTACTTTGACAATGGTGGCGACATTTACACCCCATTAAACTATTGAAAATAGGCCACAAACATCACCACGGTCAAATAATGGGACTAAAACAATTGACCGGGGGGGGGGGGGGGGGTCACTGATTGTTTTAGTATTGTACATTGTATACTACTACTAGTGCGGAGCCCGTCGAAAATGTGCAGCTCGGAAGGGGCAGTGCTCATACAAACAATGCACACGATATTCAATGGTGTTCTTTGTATTGACTATGTACCGGCACTGTAGGCTACTGAACATGCGCAGTGAGTGCTTTTTTGGGGGGACAGACATTTTTACCGTGACGAATCTTTGTCTGGTTCCACGCTAACATTGTTGTTGTTACTTCATGTTAAATAGATGGGAATCAGAACTTTTTAAATTTCGGGACTTTATTTTCGTCATTCCTCCAGCGCCATGAATCAGAAAAAAAGATGAAATATTCTGCAATTAAATGTAGGATTCAATTTAAAACAAGAAAAGAAGACAATTCTTAGTTTTTGGGACAACCTTATCTTTCTAATGGAGATCAATGGTTTAGGCCTAACTTGTATACACAAGCATGAGGGCGCTATATGATCTGCCGACCAGTTACATGGCTTAAGAACAGAAAAAATGCAAGACCGGATCACTGCTATAAAATAAACACTAAGCACTTTGTTTATGTAATTTGTAAAGTCTGCAATAAGAGTTATTTTGAACACATCCTGATCCACCAAATGGCGGCAGGATATTTATGACTCCAAATAAATCAAAAGAATGTGTCATTACACCTTTCGGAAAAAATACATGCAACCTGACGCCACTTCAGCGTCAAGACAATTTTGTATTTCCAAACAAATTGGAAATGTTTCGCAGTTCCAGGCCTATATGAAGAAAAAAGCTTAACAGTACAACTCGTAGCCGAGTCAACTCGTACCCGAGACAACTCGTAGCCGAGACAACTCGTACCCGAGACAACTCGTACCCAAGACAACTCGTACCCAAGACAACTCGTACCTGAGACAACCCGTACCCAAGACAACTCGTACCCAAGACAACTCATACCCACCGATTACTAGTGCGTGCATAGAGCATGGTGCATTGTGTGTCAAAACTAATTCTAATGAGCGATAACTGAGACGTACATATACAAATATCAATTGCAATTTTTTTCAATGCTAGTTGATATAACATGATTTTCCGACACATTTTTGTTATGTCACGGTAGTACAGTGCACTGTGACATCATTTTTGCCCATGAGCCCACGCATTAGTCGACGTGGCTGTGCCCAGCCCTATACCGTGCAAAGTGACATCGTTTTTGCCGGGCCTAGGCGCGCTTTTGTCGGTCAATGTGGTGTACCGTGCAAGGTGACAATACTGACATCGGACCACGTTTTGCTGGTGCACAAGCGGTACCATTTTTCAACGGCATTATGCCTACTTGCAGTTGCACATAATACAATGTATTTGGGCTATGGTTAACGAAGTTTTCAAAAGTTAAGTACATTTTGGCCCAAAATATGCCGGGTACGAGTTGTCTCGGGCACGAGTTGTCTCGGGTACGAGTTGTCTCGGGTACAAGTTGACTCGAATTCAAAAAAAGGGGTGTCAGTCACTGTCAGGTTGCAACTTTTTTCACACTGCTTTCTATGTTTGTGAATTGTCATGGTTGCAACTAGTTATATTATCATGGAGTTGTAGTGATGATGATTGAAAATCATATGATTTAATGCTAGCTTTATGTGGATTCAAATGTCTAAAAAGTAAAATCATAAAATGCATTCCCGCTGACATACACTGACATAGCGACATTTTGCTGAAGATAAACATGTCAAAACATCATCAAAACACATCAATATTGGCAGTAACTCACCACAAGGACGTGATCCTCGACAGTGATCAATGAATAGCACTTGTCAGCCGTTATTTTCGAACCTTTATTGCAACTGCTACAACCTTTAAAATTAAAAGTTAAAACCTACTCTTGCCAGCTGATCGTACGTCAATGTCCTTGTGTATGTTGTACTTTGCACGTTAACAGAATTAGATTTGCATTATACACGTGCCAACGAAGCGTGACGAGGTCATTCCGTCATCAGCAATGCATCCTGGTTCCGGACTTCACTGGAAATAATACGTGCACTTTGTCAGTATGAAAAACGAAAGTGCACGGCACCAGATCATTCCTGCGCGTTGTTGACAGTTTGGAGCATTGTGATTGGTCAATGGGGACAACGCCTACAAAATTGCATCATCCCCGACCTTCTGCTGTCTCAAACACAAGAGGGCGCACTTAACAACACCTAAAAAGTTTGGGGTGTTTATTTTTTCCCCTATCATCAATCATAGTGGGTACACAGTACAGACGTTTAATTGGAGGGAAACTGTTTGTGGGTAACTCGTGGCTAAACCTCCATTGGTAAGTTTTGGTTTATTTTCACGATACCTTTCGAACACTGTTTGTCATACATACTTAGCAACTAGATTGAAATTTCAGTGCTAGTATGCGCACGTTCTGTACATTCACAATTCCCGCCTTTTCTTTCGTTTTTAAAAATTGAGCACCATTTTGTTTTTGCTGCCAAGTAACAAATTCTGCCACAAATTGCAAAGTAAGTATCTCATTTTTTTTTTTTTAATAAGATGGCATTTTATTTAGTCTTAATCTTTGGCTATTGTTGTTTCCAAAGCTTTTTGGAAATATTAGGCAAATATAGTCGTGTTCCCTAACGTACGTGGCGCACTTCGAAGCTTACCCGACTTTCCTCGTGTAGAGTTGCCAAACCTCTTTGTGACAAACCTCAACGTTCATGCAGTAAAATACTGGTACTTTTACCTTATTAATGCTTGCTATTTTACCTCTGTGAACAATTTCAGTTTCATAGATATTAATCCGAAATTCAAAAACGGTGGCGTCCGGAAATTGGGCACAAATTGGCGGAGTGTTCCCTAACGTGGCGCACTTGAATAAATCTCGGAAAATTCCAAATTAACATTTAAAAATTTCTGTAAACTTGATAAATTCTGATACATAATTAATAATTATTATCTCTACGTACATACCCAGCCAGATGTTTGTCAGAAATTTTTTTTTTATTTTTTGGGGGCATTTTCAAAGGGTTCACTTTGCACTTGAAAATAATATCGGAAAATCACGCCAAAATAATCTGTTCATCTAAATTTGTTACGGGTAAATAAACTCGCGATTTATGAACAGGAGTGTTTAGAACTTGATGAAATTTCACTTTCTGTGAAATGCCAGTTAAAACTTTTGCTCTAGTTAGGCGCTACAGGCGCAAAAATCAAAGTGCGCCACGTTGGGGGGCGCGCCACGTTAGGGTACATCAACAATAACTAAATTTTGCAATGTTGAAGTGCCAACCAGGGATTTGCAAAGAAATGTCTACATGGCCTACGTATTTCCTTAAGTACGTTGACTCTCAAAATGGAAATAGATAATGTAGATCTAGACCTTTTAGCAGGCAGGGGCATTGAGGCCAACGAAGGACCCAGAACCTAGAAAAGTTTCCATGAAAAAAGAAAAAAGGAAACGATATCAGCATCACCTGGAAAAGCATGCCCTGTGACTGGCGACACAGCTGACAACAATATCAGATATTTCCGATGAGAAAACTCCATGAACTCTATATCTGGTAACATACCATCTTTATTGATAAATAATGACACTGTTCATGAAAGCAGGGCAATAACAGATTTTTGTTTTGGTAACACTGTACTGGACATCACACGGATGTACAGGGTGAGTCAAAAAAAAAAGCGAAACCCAAATGTCGGGACTATTGTTTTAGTGAAGTTCTGCGTGTAGCACTTTCAAAATCTAGGATATGAAAGCCCAATTCATAAGATTCCTTTTAGTACAAGAATCACTCAAAACACATGTACTTTTCAAGTCAACCGTTTTGAAGTGCTGTCCACGGATCACAAAAGAGTAAGTGTTCTTTCAAGTTTCAGCAAAACGCAGACAATTCACACCGTGCGACTATACTCATCTTTTGAGGACTGCACTCTATGGAAGGAAGGAAGGAAGGCCTACGGATCTGTTTTCGTTTTGCTGAAAGAACGCACTATTTTATGGGAGATAGTGGACAGAACTTTAAAACGCTGTTTGTGTTTAAAATTCAGTGACTTGAAAAGAACATAAGTGATTTGAATGATTTTTGTACTAAAAGAAAGCTCATGAATTGGGCTTTCATATCCTAGATTTTGAAAGTGCTACATGCAGAATTTCAATAAAACAATAGTCCCGACATTTAGGTTTCGCTTTTTTTGACTCACCTTGTACATAAAATTCGCCCATAGGCCTCATTGGAAGGTTTTAAATTTATCAAAACTATAAGTTACCGTACGTCAATACACCAAACTCTAGATGAGGTTTCGCCACCGTTTTGCAATTGGAAAACATAATCTGTAGTACCAGTGTGTGTGTTAGTCAGTTCGTTTCGAGACGATGAAGTGGAGCCGAGGTCTATTCCTTCATCGGGGGCGGAGTCGGGATTCACGGTCAAGGAATCGTTTGGGTTATTAGTGAGGTTGCGTGTAGCCCGCTCCGATAAACTCTTCCAGTATCGGCATGGGAAGATGGGCGCGAGGAGTTTAACAAACGCCCAGCGAAACTCCCTGCTCCGCCAGGCATAGGTCACAGGATTCATGGCAGAGTTGCTGAAGACAAGATGGAAAAAGAAAATCTCAAGGATGAAAAGTTCCTTCATGGGGAGCGAGAATAAAGCATCTCCCACGGTGATCAGAGTTGCTGGTGAGAATGCTAGCATGAAGATGCCCAGGACTAGGGCTACCGTCTTGGCTGCTCTGATCTCCAGCATGAGGGGCCGTGGATGGAGTTGGACGGCGTGGGCTTCTGCGGCGATGCGCCGGTGATGCTTCCGGGCCACGAGGTAAATCCTCAGGTAGAAGTACCCCATGAAGATGAAGGGGGTTACAGTGAGGACAACGGTACCTACACAGCGGTAACTGAAAGGGTGGATGAAGAGCAAGTCGCAGTAGTCGAGGTTGTAAGTTGATAACTGGTTCCAACCGAAGAACGGCAGGAGGTTGTAAAAGATGGCAATAGTCCAAGATGCCAGGATGAGGTAGCGTACTCGTCGCAATGTCATCTGGGTGTAGTACCGTAGCGGTTTGGTGATAGCCAGGTAGCGATCGTAGGCGATTACGGCTAAGTGGTTGACAGAGACGCTGAACGACACGCAAGTCAGCGAGCTGCCGACGAGACACAGCCAGGGGGAGACCTCCCCAGCCACGCCCAGGCTGAAGATGATGTCACAGGGGAGGCAGGCGAAGGCCACGAAGAGATCTGCCACGGCAAGACTGGCCAAGAAGACGTTAGTCGGAGAGCGCATCTTGGGGAAGGACATCACCGACATCACGACCAGGGTGTTGCCGACGATGATGCCGAGGAAGATCAGAGCATCGAACGCCATAAATCCGATAAACTGTCCTGGAGTCACCGAACAACACGGCTCTGGCGCAACCAAAGTAGAAAAGTTATCCATATCTACCAAAGAACGACTATAGCCTTCTAAAATGATACAAATAGGACGACTGCAATTCTAAAATTTGTGAAACATCTTCATTCTTCTCGAGCCGCACCGTGTGCTACTCTGACGTATTTCTGCCTTGCAAGTTTGTCGTATGGGACAGAGTCACTGAACAACACGGCTCTTTCTGGTGCCGCTAAAACGGAAAATTAGCCATCTATCCATGTCCAGAATCTGTCACACGTACCCACCGTCGTTTCCAACTTATCCGATTGGGTCCGAGTTAATAACTGAAACCGTTATCGTCGTGCAATGAGAAGTTAAACCTGGGAAAACAATAACCAATTACACGGAACAGATGTCAAGCTATAAATATAATAGGCCTACAGGAAAGACAAACAAACTGATAGCTCGCTAACTGAAAAATCCACTGTTGCCATGTATACTGAATGTACCATAATATTGCCGTAATGAACATGATGTCGCGGGAAATGACTGATGCGCAAACGCAGCACGTATTCAAGCTTGCTCCCTTATACACTGTAGTATTTAGGTCACTACATGTGCGGAGTTACAAACCCAACAAAGAAGTAATTTAATTGCGAATTGTTGTGAAACCAGAGTAGCGCTAATGCAAGACCTGTTTTACTGTTATAGTTGAATTAGTTTTGAGCAACTTACCAGACGTGTTACCAAATCGTTTGTGGTGATGTGTTTGGATCAACACGACAAAATGGGTCTGTTGCTGAGTGATTTGGTCTGGATAAAGATATTTGGTTAATGTTTAAGATTTCAAAAGAATGCAAAGACGTCAATTCTTCCAGCGCGCCCGATTTTCTTGCCTCTACACCTACATCTACGCTGGTACTCAGCAATGTCCACTTTTGGATGTTAACGCCTTGCACTAAAACCCGGAAAAATTCCAAGCTATTGGCTTTTATCGCAGGAATTTTTTTTTGGCTGGAACCAGCGAACAAACCTATACTGTCTTCTTTATATCTTTATATCTTTATATCTTTATGTCATTTGTGAGCTGGGCAGTTCTATCGTATAGGATTAACCCATTACGCATTGGGCTTAATCCGGCCCATTGTACATGCACGAAAAGACTTCCAGTGAATAGACATTCTGAATCTCTTAAAAGAGTTTATTTCAAAAACGAGATAATTTACTTGAAAAAAGGAAAATTTGACGGTTAGTACCTATGGCACTTTTAAGAATGAAAACAGTTTCTGAACTTCATTTTCGCCTTGTTGTATTTGTAAATTGTGTGCAACTATAACAGCATCGTTTCGGTTTGCGGTAACACCATGTGGTAATAACTACTGCTTAGAAGATATTAAGTTCTGAAAAGAACTTGTCCTGCTTATTTTATATCAACTTTGCTTAGTAGTTTTTTGTTCTGATAAGAACAGTCCTGCTTTAAATTCTAAAGAACTTGTCTTTGGTCTTTGGTTTAGAACTTAAAGCAGGACTGTTCTTAAAAAAAACTACTAAAGCAAAGTTGATAATAAGCAGGACAAGTTCTTTTCAGAACTAAATATCTTCTAAGCAGTAGTTATTACCACATGGTGTTACCGCAAACCAAAACGATACCGATACTCCACCATGCAAAGCCTCAAATCTTATAAACTATAACAGCCGTCGAAACTGACTTTAGGCAGCCAGGAGAGGGTTTGATTCTATACAAGGTAACAAATGGCATTCATCGCGTTTTGGGGAATAAACTCTTATTCGATTAAATAAAATTGGCGGGCCGCTTGAACTAAAAAGTAAACAGGTCAATCCACGATCATGCTAATTGAAAATCGATGTACGTGTAGGCTACAAATGATGAAAAATGGATGTCTGATCATGCAGCTAGTCCTTTTTATTTATATGGATTTGCCCCACCCCCAGGAATTCCCAAACGTTTCAAGTTCACTTGTCTGTCATCACCCTAACCCATTAGAAAGTTTAGCACGCGCTCTCCAACTGTACTTTGCAGACCTCCGCAATGCGACGGAGCTCCCCCCATTTCCCAAGGCGACGCGCGAGCATAGGTCTTGGTCCGCCTTACACCCCACGTTGCTCGAAACCGGTGCGGTGACAAATTGATTTATCGATTGCTGTCCAATGTACCCCCGCAGACGAACATTAATAGTTGATCATGTAACGGGGCACGTAGACAAAGCAGTTTATTATAACGGTATACACACAACACAGAAGCTCACAGGTTGCGTACCAGCGGTAAAAAGTCAGCCGGTCTTGGCAACCAAGATATTTTTGGATATGAAACAACCTCTGGTTCTAAGTATAAACTCGGCGGATGTAAGTTTACACTAGCCCGGTAGACATAGGCCCTACACAAAGTCACAAAGAAAGAAATCGTAAAAATTGGAGGAGAAATGCTATGTTTCGACGTAAGGTGCTCTATTCTTAGTTTCGTTTCACACGATTGACAATTGGCCGAGATGTCTTCTTAAGCCTGGTACACCATCTTGGATTATTAATGTGCTGAAGATTCGCCATCTTGGCGTACAGGAGAACACCCATGATCAAGGTAACCAGGTACGTTTGGTATGTTTAATCTAGAAGTAAGAAATCTGCAATAATGAGAAAGCAATAATTTCTTTGTTTCAAAATTTGCTCTGTCCTGAAAGACGTAATCATGAAGCGAAGTTTGCCGGCAACATGGCGATACAAGATGTTTGTGGGGACTACAAATTTCAGATCACGTGTGAAAGAAAATTAATATGTTACCAGTATACATGTATTGGCCTAAAGTGGCAAATCATAACCATAACATTATTTGTGCTTGTTCCAGATATCGAGAGAGAAAAATGCTTTGACGAGGAATACAGGCGACTGGCGTTGGAGCCCTGAAACAAACTGTTGACAGGGACAGTTTTTTGTCTTCAGGATTTGACTTTGCGAGGTTGAGACAAAATGTCGATTGTTATACCGAAGAGTGCCCAGAGATGGCCCGTGGAGCCAGAGCAGAAAGGAGACGGCAAGAAGAAAGATGACAAGAAGAAGATGAAACAGAGCAAGGCGTTCAACTCGGCCAAGACAATGAATGACCGAGAGCAGCGCCGGTTGGCACTGACTCTAGACGTCTTCAAGAAGGATCTCCGAACTGCTACACACCTCCTTAGTCTGGAACAGAAGCAGCTGAGACGGGAGCTACAGACTATCAATCCAGACATCAAGATGGATCCGGCCAAAGGGTTCTTCGTGCCCCAAGGAGTGACCCAAGAACAAGCCGAGATGCTGAAGGACAACCGGCGGGCCAGCGTCCCGGCCGCCACTCGGAGCATCTCGCTCGCCGAGTTCGACGAGATGAGACAGAAGCGGAGTCAGAAGTCCCGCGAGGCTTTTGAGAGCTCCAGGGCGACTCAGCCCCAGGGTGATGGTGAGGACACGGAGGATGCCATGCTGATGAGGGCTAGGAGGAGAGGCAGAAGGGGCGCCGTCCAAATGCCGGACAAACCTGCCGCTTTCACCTCCATGGCCCGTGTGACTGTCAACCCCGTCAGTGGTGGTGGTAGTAACCAGGCCTCACCGAGACATGCAGCGTCTTCATTACGGAAACTAAACAAGAAACACTAAGAAACAAACAGTTTCGAGGTGAATTTTCTTCTGATAAGACTGGAAAACTTCAATGAAATCCGTCCTGTTAACAATTCAATTTGTTTATATTCTTTTCTGAGTACAGATACCGATACAAAAATGTATATGCCAGGAGGATTTGGAAACCTGGAGTGGGGGAAAACAACAAAACTACTTCACATTTGAAGCGAAAACTTTGATAATTGATTAGTTGACCAGCAACCATTTCGAAAAGAAATACGTGTGACTTGTGTAAAGCCTATAGCAATCTCCGGGCTCGATTTTGGAGGACCAAAAATGTTGTACCCCTATTTCCTTCGCACGATAATTTCATGGCATCAAATGTTCAATGTATAGTTGCCGTATGCAAATTATATTCTAGTTTATGACCTTTCTGGGACACGCGTTTTTGGAACTTCAAAGAGGCGCATTCAATTAAGACGACATGTCTGATGTCTCCCTTAAACTACATATAGGGTCATTTGATTTTCATACATTTTGTTCGTTTCCAATATTAACACCACTCATAATTCAAAGAAAAATGTTCCACATCTATAACCTGTTGGACCTTCGGCTCAGTGGATAGTGCACTTTTGGAGAAAACAGGGAAAACAATGCACATGATTCCAATAGCACTTTCCAAAAATCAGTTGATTGACTAATCGTTGGAAATCACCTACATTTCTTAATTTCTTCTAAATGACAACAAGCCAAACGGGAATAATTTCACGGGGTGTTTAGAATACCATAATAATCTTTAATCCAAGTAAGCTTTCTGATGATAATTCGATAGGTTACTTTTGGGATATTATGCAATGTGCCTTTTAATTTAATTAAGTTGTTCATAATAAATCGACGAAGCAGTCTCTGAGTCGCTTCATCAAGCTGCCATATGGAGTCTGTCATAATTTTATGATTAATTAAACACAAAGGATAACCATATATTTGCATTATCATGAAGCTGATAATTATTTAGACAAACCCATCGGTTATTCTGGTTTTGTTATATTGTATGTGTTATCGGAGCTGTCTATGTTATGGCTTTTGAATTTCAAGAAAAACACAAAGTCAGATTGATCAATGTCCACAATATCTGTAGTGGATTTTTGTTAGATAAAACTGGGGAAATTGGGTTCTGTGTACATGTGCAGACTGTCAATATGATATTTCACAATTTATTTGGATTTTGAAAACGATTGACAGTACAGGTCAGAGCCACGGAAGGCGGCCTGCGAGAGATGTAGTAAAGGAAAGTCTTGTTTCAATTCGCTTGTTGTACCTTGTAGCTTGTACATGTAGTTCAAACTCCCGAACGGTCCACCAGGGACTAAACTGGAAATTGTTTGCGGGGACAACTCCGTCGAACAAAACCTGTTTTGCAAAGTAGCTTTCTCAATATTGCAGTCATATTCGTAGGGCCGGGGGGGGGGGGGTTGTCCCATGGACCATTTTATAAACTGGGAGTGCAAGAGAATCTCGTGCATTAAGTTATACATTTTCTTTGTGGATTTTTAGAGCATAAAAAGATCGAATGAAACACTGAATTTTGCATGCAAAAAATGACATCGGAGGCTCCATATTTTGCTAAACATTTTCTGGGGCTACAAAATAGAATTAGGGCTTCGCGCCCGTAGCGCTAGCGGTGGAAGACTGCTACATCCATAACTTTTCAGTGGCAATGCCCAACAAAATAGTTCTGCTTCCACTTCCCCTGCCTACCCTATTCTGACAGCCCCTACCCTAATTTTTTATGGGAAAATTCATAAAACCAAAACCATCAATTTTTATTTTTTACCCTTGATTACACGCAGACGCCTCCATACACAAAAAAAATGTGCAAAAGGAAAACTTTTCCCTGCCTACCTACCCTATTTTCAGATGCCATTTAATCGGAAGCATAACTATGTTTTTTTGGCCTAAGTATTGAATGGATCGGTAACTAGGCTAAGTATGACTTTAAAAAGACAATCATACATACTTATACTAGACCTGACTTAGGTACCCTTTACACACAGATGAAAACATGTTAAACAACATCATTGGCGGTGCTTATTGTGTATACATCATCGTAAGACTATAAAGATTTTCCACCGCAAAAAAAATCTTTACAAGTTCTAAGAAAGTCACTAATTCCATGCGCAAAGCCCATATTAACAGTTTTCAGTGAGGTACCTAAAAAGATACGTCGATCCCTAAACCGTTATACGAAATTTATAAAACTATAGAATTTGTTTTATAAGAGCAAAAGAGAAATCAATTTCAAAAAGAAAGCGTGCTTCGAGCTGAATTTTAATCTTCAACATTTTACAGTACACAGATATCCCTTGCTAATACACACATATTAATGTATTTATATTCCCAAATCGATTAATACATGAATATTCGCGCTCTTTGTACTCCATCTGAGTGCATTGCGCGGTGCATTCGTCAGCTTTTTGATTATTTTTTCAAAGTATTAACAGTTTATTCTGTAATTGTTAACGACATAATCGTCATGGGAAAATAACAGGTGTTGCAAATGACGGACGACCACATCGAGTTTTCCCACAAATGCTAGCCTCCAATGATGAATGATGACAGAGATCGTGCCTGTAACGAGGGCATCTAATTGGCTTCAACTCCCTTTTTAAATTGGCGTTCCAGACTCGGGCCGAACTAACTTTCCGAAGAATTGATGTCGAAAGATCAACAGTGCAGTTGGGGAGATTTCGCTCAAATGTAATTTTTGAACTCGGGTATAACACAAAATCATTCTAAACCATGATTTGGGATGCTAGTCGGCCTGGTATTAAAATTGAACTTAGTTCAATGAACAGACCACCACACCAATTTATTTAAAAACTTGACCCCGTCTTGGGTTTTTATTTGTCTTTCAAACAGTAAACAAATTATACACACACATGTCTGATATTTACATATTCTACCTTTTTAAACATATCGATAAAACTGCTGTCACTCAAACTCAACTTCTCTACCTTTCAGAAAGGTGGAGCTGATCTACAAGGTATCCCTGGATCTAGAGATATCAAATAAACTTTCTATGTACATGTACGTCATCCTTGTAATGCATTCTGATGGATCTCTCTCTCCAAAAAATACAATAAACAAAATTGCCAAAAATATAAATTTAAAAATCCCCAAACCGAATTGACTATCTAAATTTGAAACAGTGCATATTTTTTTTCTTCATAATGTCTGTTTTCAGCAGTTCAGCTAATGAGCAGTAGCATGGCTTAGCAACATCATGTTGAAAAATACACACAGGGTTTGTGAGCAAGGCTGGTAGACTAAAATCACTGTTGCACCATTTACATGTCTGGAAAACAAGCTGCCCTTCACAACGCCATATCAGTCTAAATGTCAATTAAAAAGAACCCGGTAGTCAGATAGGGGCTGTGGTATCTTTTCTCAACTTCCTCTTCTGTGTCAATTCCTGGTGCAAGACCACCCAGGCTAACATGGATTTGTGTCATCCAGTTTCCCTTCAATGTCATTCGGAAGTTTTCCTCCAAAACTTCACGTTCCTTTGTCTTCTCTCATTTCGTTTCTTCCAGCTCCCAGGATACAGTGCCTTGTACTATTTTTTTTAAAGATAGCCTTGGCTTCAACACCAGAAAGAATAAAGGGTCCATGCAATGATTTTTTCTTTAATTGGAACACGTTTTGTGCAACTTTCTACTCCTCTTAAATATTTGAAAACAACTTGACGTCCCATTCTGGTTAATTCTATTGAAAACTGCACCCCTTTTTATTATAAAAAAATGTCCATGCTTTTCCGGACAACTGAGGGCCCTGTTGCTGTGATGTCATTTCAGAAGACACTGTTCAATTAAGGAGTTTTCTGTTCATTATTGTGTGAATGGGTTGCTCATTGGTTTACTGCCATGTACTTACACAACAACCTTGACGAATCACCAAAGAAAAGAAACTTTCTGACAGCATTTTGTGTCTGCTGAAAGAGCTGTAAAATGGAGGTTTCTGCTTGGAATAACATCACAGTTTTGCTCATCAATATGGAAATTTAAATTAGCATAAAAACCCCAAAGGCCCCAAACTACCCTTCAAAACGACAAAACGATAATTGAAAATAAGGTGAAATGGGACACAACGGTACATTTTCAAGGATTGCATTAAAAAAATTAGATTGCATGGGCTCTTTAACTAAAAAAACCTGTTGTATCAATCCATCTTTATTTTCCTCCGTTAGTCTTACGGACTACACGCACAAGTACCCCCTCTACAGTTAAAAAGAGAAAAGGGACCACTGGAAAGGACGCATTGCTAGTAGTGCCTGATACTCACTTGAAGATGCTACAGGTTATGCACTTCAGAATAAAGAAGTTGTGCGTACTACATTCCACAAAACAGAATGCACATCCCTGGAGCTCTAGTGAGTGCTCCTGATGTGCCATCTATATATCAATCACAATCAGTCCAGGCATGCAACTTTTCCTCGGATCCGCTTATTTCCATACTTTTTACTTCTCATGAATGCCATTACAAATTGAAAAACGCTGTACAAACTCTAGTTTGGTTTGGAGTTTCCTCGGTTTTTTTTTATTCCCAGTTGCATGCCTGTCAGTCATCTTAATATTCCTCCATCAGTTCCTCCTCATCAAGATTAGCCGTCCACTCCACCAGATCATCGACGTCTTTGTCCCAAGGGTCACCTGTGTCACTCTGGGCAGTTGAGGGCGGTGGCACTGTGAAGAGATGAGAGAAAGCAACAAAATTACCTATCAAGAAGAAGGTTTAAGGTTTAGGGTTTTTTTGGGGTACAGTTTTTAGTGTTTCTATCTGAGTGGTTTAGTTCGTTTTGTGTCTACAGTTTTAGGCCTATGGGCTCCGAGCACAAGTACCCCCTCAATGGTAAGAAATGGAGAGTTATGGGAGACCACTGGGAGAGACACTCGAACACATTGCCAACGACTTCTTACTCGCACTATGGGTTTGCGCACATGAAGTTAGTATAGCGCACAACTTGTGCAATACGTGCGCCACCCAGTAAACGCATGTGGTGTGTACCATCCGTTGAGCTCACGAAAGTGGTCAAAAAGCGCCCTCTCTTGTTCATGCATGGATCCTATCATTTAGAATAAGCTGAAATAGTTTATCGGACACAAAATGGGACCGAGGACATGTCACTGGACAGATGTGTTTAACAGACTATTAGACTATTAGTTTTTTGCTTACTTATTTTCCGTGAGGGCAGGTATATCTTGCGCATCTTGTTGATGTGGTCCAGCTTCTTCTCCTGGGAATCCGTCTTGCTGGGTTTGGCCGCAAAGTTACCGTACATCAAGGAATTGTGCCTGTTGAGAAAAGGGTGTCAGCTCTGGCTATTCATAATATATTCTGGTTTAATGACATATAAAAAGTAAACTTGGAACAGATACCACAGGCCTCACAGGGAAACCTATAGACCTATTAAACCTATAAAATCTTTCAACTCGAGAGCCTTTTCTATTTTAGAGTAACATGTATTACCTATGCAATCAATTGTGCAGGGATTTGAAGTGTTATCCATACTACACAGAAAATTACCTCAAAGAAATTGAAGTATAGGCAAAAGCGATTTTGCAAAACTTGAAGGTTGTGAAGTGCAGAGGACTAGGAGGGTTAATAAACCTTGCTGATAATACTTACTCCTGTAGTTGTTTCTTCATGTGCTGTTGTAGTTCCTCTAAGGGAAGACCAAAATGCGCCGTCTGTAACTTGGGGTCATTCTTGATTGCTTCTAATACTGAAGAGTTGAAAAACACACGTACAATATGTTAGACTCTAGAATTGAATGTGCAGATAACTTCAGATGCAATATGCACGTATTGATTAGTAATACGGCAATGGTGTATAAATTGTTTTGTTGTATATTATGAAACTATACCATTGCAATATTTTTTTCTTTACGCTTGGAATAGGTTTATACACAATATGGTTGTACCCACAAGGTGGTACTGCCCAACTCACATGGATTTTTCATGTTGGGTTCTGCCTTGCTGGTAGCAATGCCGCTCCACGTCGTCAGGTAATCATCAAAGGAAACCTTAGCTTGGCTCGTCTGGGAGGATTTGGGTCGGTCAGATGTCTCGTCCTCCCCAGCTTCCTCAAAACGAACTTTGGCATCGTCAACCTGAAGGCTCTGACCAGCTAATTAACAAAATTAACAAATTTATAGACATTTTCATATTTTTCTATCTTGATTATTTGATTGTTGCTTTAAAATTGCACAAGTAATGTAGATTGGGATCTGGAAAAACGTGATGACCGATGATAATGAAGATATGTTGAGTTTTCGAGTGGGAGGAAAATACCAAAAGGATTTTCTCAGAGAATACCACGGAATCTGGGACTGAAAACCAATCTACTATCAAAGCTATTCATGAATATGTAATATGTATCAAACTGGACCAATGCTGCCCCATGCATACATGGCAATGGTCACAGACAAGGAATAGCCTATTCTCAAATCCTGGTTTTGGCTCCAGCTTTGGCTTTGGTTCATCTTCATTATTTTAGGTTCCTATCCCTGGACATTCACACTATGAGGCAAAGCCATAGACAATCCAAGGTTTTAGAAATGGCTGAGGCTAGGACACAGTCTTGAACCCAGACTCCTATACAGCCATTTTTCAGCATTCTTACATACCGTGAACACGCTGACTGGCAGTCACACAGTCTAGAACCATTTGTCTGTAGAGATCAGGTGACTCTTTCAAGATACCACAAGCCTCTGGGTTGACTGCAGCCTCTAGGACAGGGTAGGATAGTAGACACTGGAGACAGAAGTGTGAAAAAATGAGTGGTTTTAGTGATTGACTTGTGATGGACTTGTGATGGAGTTGTGATGGACTTGTGATGGACTTGTGATGGACTTGTGATGGACTTGTGATGGACTTGTGATGGACTTGTGTTGGACTTGTGATGGACTTGTGATGGACTTGTGTTGGACTTGTGATGGACTTGTGATGGACTTGTGATGGACTTGTGATGGACTTGTGATGGACTTGTGATGGACTTGTGATGGACTTGTGATGGACTTGTGATGGACTTGTGATGGACTTGTGATGGACTTGTGATGGACTTGTGATGGACTTGCGATGGACTTGTAATGGACTTGTGATGGACTTGTGATGGGCTTGTGATGGACTTGTGATTGACTTGTGTTGGACTTGTGATGGACTTGTGATGGACTTGTGATGGACTTGTGATGGACTTGTGTTGGACTTGTGATGGACTTGTGATGGACTTGTGATGGACTTGTGATGGACTTGTGATGGAGTTAAGATAGACTTGACTACAACATTGACTGAGTTCTTGCAAGCATTGCGCGCAGTTGACCTGCATTTCAATATTGTCAAAAAATTGTTTCAGTCAAATTCATTTACATGTACTGTACCTGTATCGCAAGAAGCACAGATTGCAAACTATATGACTCCTTCCATGTGTCGTAATCATCCAGGAAGTCAACGCAGGGCCGACCGGTGTTCATGTCAACTGAAAAACACAGGGCAAATAACAAAAATGTCAAGAAAAGACTTGTTAGGGCTAACCAATTACAATGTATCACTTTTACTGCATTGTATTTCACTTTAAATATTTATTTATTGATGAATCCTGAAAAGCTGTATACCTGGGGTGCTGAGAGGGTATTTGGAATGTTTTATTGGCCCAATGAGCACGGGTAATAATGATGTAGCGCCTTGAGCACCAATACTGGTGGATATGTGCGCTTTATAAATACACATTACAACCATAGATAGGACCTTTAGGAAACTCTTAAGTGTCACAAGTTATACCTTTGGGAGAAGTGGAATTAGGGAGACATTTGAATATCTCCCTTATGCCCCAGCCCCTAAATAGGCTAGATCGATTGCTCGTGGTCCAATAAGTAAAGTCCCAAAATTGTGGGGGTGGGATAATGTACTTTTTAAATACCTTTTTGGTTACAAAGTAGTAGTACACTTACTATTTGGATGAAAAGGAATGGTATGAAAATGCACTGCGGGAGGAACACTGTTGAACTGCTCATCAAACTTCAGATTTATTGCAAAAACCCCACCTGTTGATAAAAAGTAACACAATATTTGAATTCAATTAATTCATGACAGTTTACAATTGTTTAGTCTGTGATTTGGTCCATGCTGTTTTGTATTCCCCGGATTGGGGGGGGGGAGGCAGATGTCAATGTCATAGTGTCTGGTATCCAGTTTTTAACACTTAGAAATCATTACCAAACCTGGGATGGATTTTGATTGACTGAAGTAAACAACAACTTATCTAAGACATTATAATAACCAAATAACCAAGAAAGGTGAAAAATTGACCAATGAAATAAAAGGACTGGCTCATGAATATGTATAAGGTGTAGTTCAGTACCTTCCCATAGTGTATCCTTGAGACCTTGTATTGTAGCCACCCATTCAAATAAGTTACCATCACTTAACGGTTCTGCTTCAATTCCCTGAAATACAAGAGGAAAAATTCATGCCAATGAAATAACAATACAATGAACAGTAATTATATTACCAAATATCAAAACAGGTTTTGTTGGTCATGGTTAGAAAAATATCACTTAAAGCCATATTTCATACAAAACTGTATTTTCTTACAGCAATCAAACAAATACTGTACCTACCCAGGCTGGTTCTCTCTGTAGAAGTATGTACTCCTTCTCCAGCAACATGTGAGCCCGGGAATGCATCTCGATGTTTGTCTTGGTGATCACAATTTCGTTTGATTAACTACCTACACTTGCGATGTGAGTCACGCCAAGCAGCTTAGATTCATGTGATACAGGCCTTCATCACGATATGTAGAAACTCATCTTGCTTTTCCTCTGAACTCTGAAATGGAAAAATTGGTTACAAAGATTCATCATTGGTCTCATTAATCTTCATTCATAATACTTCAGGAAAGAATGTAGTATCCAGGCGCCACTTCAACAGTTGTGTACAGACTACGGAGAGTCAAGAATTTTTTTAGAGTATTTTCTAACAAAATTAGAAATGCTTCTCATTCCCATATTCATGTCTTTTCAACATTTTTTTCAATGACTGACCTTGAGATGAAATACAAAGAAAGAAATTGTCGTCAGGTTGCAACATTCTTTACGTCCAATGTTGCAAAAATGTTTAACTTGAAAAAAAAAACACAACATGAAACATTTCCAATTTTGTTAGAAAATACTTAGAAAATGCACTCGACCCTCTATAGACTTTGTACACAACCAAAGAAGTGGCTATATTCTTTCCTACAATCTGTTCCATTATGTGCTGCCAGTGCCACTGGCTTCTGCAGCGATCGTGCACAAACACATGGGCGGGCGCACTCAGTGACAAAAATGATGAACCTTCGCGGCGCAATTACAGTCACAGTACCGCGCCTAGTGTCCGCCTTGTCTTTCACACAGACGACGGGAACTTAGATATAAACACCAAAACACAATATACATATTAAATGCACGATAAATACGCTTACTTTATACAGAAATCAAGATATTATGTTCGGTAGCAACACTTGCCGAAATCTTGTTTACTAGGCGGCCATTTTGGATCTAAGCAACTCGACCCCAAGGGATTTTGCTGTGATGTATATAAAAACGGAAATCTGAGAACGATGTTGAAGTAACTTAGTCTGGTTCCCTGATTAACACTGACCGTGAGAGATCTATTGGTCAGAACCAGACTAGAGGCACCGGCGATGTTTGCCGATTTCCAATTTGACGATTGTGGGCGTGGCGGATGAAACACATTAATTTTTTCCACACTCTGTAGCTACTCACTGTACCCTTTTTATTTTTATTTACAATTGAATGATGGAGTCGCTTCCTGTTAGAGCGATGGTCCACATATTTTCGTTTCTAAAGGTTAAAGAGAAGTGTAATGCTGCAAGGTGAGTGTTTCTTAGTCATCAAGTGGTGCATATGCAACGTGATAACACGACTAGTCCTAGTCTAGCCCAGTGGACTCCTCCGTTGTGTACTGTACGTCCAACCTGGGCTAGTCCTAGCCCCATAAATGTGGCCTATTTACTGGACTGCCTCCGTAAACATAGGCCACACATCCGCATGTACAAAAATCGTGTCGACTTTGCCAAATTTTGATTTTCACATTTAGGCTTAGTTTGTAGGGTTTTTTTGCTTTAGAAGCATACTCACCCTCTTTATAGGCTAATCAGAAAGTGCTGCCTTTTTCAGATGTATATTTTTCGTGAAATTTCCAGATTCATTTTTACACGTTTGCGTATCAAAATTTCAACATGAAATTTCACAAAAATTAGACATCTGAAAAAGGCAGCACTTTCTGACTAGCCTATAATGAGGGTGAGTATGCTTCTAAAGCAAAAAAAATCCTACAAACTAAGCCTAAATATGAAAATCAAAATTTGGCAAAGTCGACACGATTTTTGTACATGTGGATGTGTGGCCTATGTTTACGGAGGCAGTCCAGTAAATAGGCCACATTTATGGGGCTAGGCTAGTCCTAGTCGACTAGAAACTGTGTACTTTCACTAAGTAAAGTTCACTATAGACAGTGGTTTTGAAGCTCTCTGTAAAAATGTGTATCCATTTTCCATCTCAGCACCAAAGCCAGCACCAGGGTCTTTTGACCTTCGACATTGTTTCTTTTAAGTTTTTAGGCCGACCTAAAAAATCAGTAGTTTCTCGTCCGGCCTCTTTCAAACAATGAAGGAGGTGGGTGCTTTTCCCCCCCTTTTTTTTCCAAGATGGTGTGGAATTTCCAAGATAGTGGATGGACTCTTCAATTTTATTTTGCTGATACAAAATTGTGTTCAAAGGAGTCATAACCCTTTGTACATTGCCACAATTTTGTTGAAAACAATCACCTACACAGTGACAATAAAAATCCAATAGATTGACAACATGTGCATGAATGTGCAACAATGTATGAATTTAAAAAAATAAGGAGGTGGCTGGAATTAAGAAGGAGGCAGGGATGGGAAAGGTTTGTTTTTTTGTTTGTTTTTATACTTGGCCTTTCTTTAGCCTTTAAAACAATTAAATTCAAGACTGCAACATCATATCCGAGAAATATACCTAATCATTAATAGTTTTGTGTTGTTTCCTTTTCTTTCTTCCTTTTGTTTTTAAATAGAGTCTGTAGATCCTGGTATCACCTGATGCGTGAGAAGCAACTCTGGAAGCACGTTGACCTGACACCCTTCCGAATCAACCTGCAGTCAACATGGAAGCTCATTCGCTGTTACTTCACCGATGCCCTGCGAACCCTCCACCTGCGAGGCTTCATGTATTCTGTCAAGAAGACAGAATGCATCTCCAACGCCGTGCTGAACGATCTCTGTGAGCGCTGCCCAAACTTGGAGGAGCTGTACATCGAAGACGCTTTTCTAACGAACATCGACTCAGGAAACTTACCATCGACACTGAAGGTCTTAAAGCTGTACCGATGCGTGACCACGTTTGGCTGGTTCCAGTCAGCTGTAGACCAGGGACGGTTCGGTGACCTACAGGTCCTCAGTGTTGAGAGAAGTACCAGGTTTTGTGACGAGGATCTCGAACATCTGACCTTGCTTTCCCAAGGGGGTAAACTGGAGAGCCTTAACTTCGGCAACTGCTACCGGATCTCGCACAAGGGTTTTCAGAGTATGTCTGAGAATCTTACGAACTTGAAGCATCTAAACGTCACTCAGACCGAAGTCGGCGACGAAGACATGCATTTTGTTTGCCGCCACCTGAAAAAACTGGAAACCCTCATTTTGCAGGACTGCGATTCACTAACGGATCTCTGTGTCGGATCACTGGCTACACTACCTGACCTCCGTCATCTAGACTTGAGAGGGAGTAAGATGAAGCTCACAAAAGCGGCTCTCGTTGGTATGATGGGAAAACTAAAAGGGCTCGAGGAATTGTGCATTTCTCCATCGGAGGGTCTTACAGATATAGATGCTGACGTAGAGCAGATTGCAGGGGTAAATATCAAATGTCAAATTATCACAGACTAATTAGTGTGGTCATAACCAAAATGTCTTTCTCGGGACTATTGTCAGAGATGTCTTTTAGATTCAGTTCTATAGCTACTGTAGGTTTGATGTTTTTTCTTGCTTTTTCAAACACATTTCATAATTTTTGTAATGTACTTCTCAGAGGTGCCTGGTTGATGTGTATTGATCTAAAAACATTTCTCAGTTTTCATATTTTAGTCTCTAATGTTTCCACATTTTGTTGTAAACACTTTGCAGTGGTGCAACATATTATTATTGAAATATATCTGGTTTAACAATTCCAGGTCCTCAAAGTAGTGCATTTTATATCAGGAAATGTAAATTGTACCAAATGGAAATGGTAGGATATCATGTTTTTGATTCAGAGCAAATTGTAACTTCATCCAATGACAAGATGAAATATGCCTTCTGATGGAATTATTTAATGTTATTTTATTTGTGGGCATATAATTATTGAGAAATATCTGGAATAATGACAAAGTATTTAAACTGAAATATGATTACAATATTTGCTGTAGAACTTAAAGATATGTGTATGTAATTCAAGTGATTTTTATATTTTCAACAACTCCACTAGTATATTTAGAAATTGTGCGATCTTATGAAGAGTAATAAAACACATGTTGTATTATTTATAAACATGCATTAGACATTACATGTAGTTATTTTCACAACTTGTACAACTTGTTCCATCTGTTCCCCTTTTGTTAATGAATGTGTTTGAGACCATCAAATGCCTTCTACTGATTTTGACAAAAGAGGGCGTCTTTGAGTTTCACCATAAAACTAGTATACCGCCACCAAGTTTGGGATACATTCACGCATAGCTAGCTCTATAGTTAGACCACACATTTTTGGTTATTTGGAGCATGTAGGAAGGGTTTTGAGTAGGGGACATCACTAGCACTGGAAGGTTGGGGCTGAAAAAAAAAGGGATTTAAAAAGCCTAAGTAATTCCCCCCCATTTTTTGGTATGGTGTGCGCCTTTCGCCTCAGCTAGCTGCTCCATAGACGTGACATAGACAGTTCTTTATGTCTATGAGCTGCTCACGACTCCTGCATTCCAGCATATCGCCACCAAGCGGCTGGATCTGTAAACGTTTTTACAGGTGCAGATTACTTCATTAGTATTAGGTAAAAGGTATTTGTTTGGATGTTTATAAATAAATTATGAAGTCATTTTAACGTTAACAAAGGTCAATTACAGGAATTATAAGTTTATTTCGAAGTCTATGTACAAATGATTTTGTATATATGCTATATTAAATGTGTTTTTCGTGTGTAAACGGTAACCAGTAGCTGTGATGACAGTGTGACACCCCTGTAGGTAATGGAGGTGTCCGAATCAACAACACACATGTCTCCGACAGTGACAACAGCTTTGCGCATGCATCGTGTGCATTGATGGCACGCAGTGAATGTGTATACGTATACTATACTGTGTACACACGATATTGCGTTCGTACTGCACTGGCACAGCTGATCAAACCGCAATTCAGGAAAACGGTGAAGAAAAGTTGATGTAGATCTCAACTTTCTTGTCCGACAACGTCACAAAGGAGACCCGAATGTCTTGAAGGAAGGCCAGATGAGCACTACATGTTTCAAGAAAAGAGAGACCGCAGCTATTTAAGAATTTGGAAGAACTAGTGCCTGATTGCGAAGTTTGTGAATTTCTTCTCGACCCAAGGTCTTTCCTGACTCGCTGCTGGAGTCCGAACAAGTAGTACTACAGCGGGATTTGTGAGGTCATCCTACGGGCTGGTGTGCGCTAGTTGCCCGGGGATCGTTAACTGCAAAACTCGGCAATGTCTGGTGGTGGTGGAAGGGCCGTGAAAGGGTCGTTGGTCGCGAGGTTTTGTGCGGTGGCTGTCGTGCTGTGCCTGTGGTCTGTACAGGGTGAGTACACTGCAAAGTGTCTTGATTTAAGGTTTGAAAAGAATTTGTTTGACAGTTTGGAAATTGAGTCCTATCTTAAGAAATTCAGTTGTGACATTTTGTATTACAATTACTCATGGCCATTGATGGCAGGCATACGCTTATTTTGAACTAAGTATTTTGCATGCAAAGATTCATTGTGTTTTAACACGTGGAAAGATTCCCATATCTGGCCATCACTTGTCACCCTGTGCATGCTGTGCACAAACCCTATGGGACTGGTCTGAAAATGTCTAAGTATTTTCTCAGTAAAAATTCAAAATTTGTCCTTGCTAATTTTGACTTTTTAGGACATATTATTACTTTCTGATGGGTCATACTTCATTTAAAATTTTAAGGGAAAAATTACTGATGGCCAGATATGGGAACCTTTCCGATATGATGCGCCCCAACTATAGCATTGTCCCAGTGTGTAGGTTGGCGCAGACATTCAGGAAGTTTTAAGTTTTACAAATTATATTGGCTTATCCATGGCTTATCTACATGTAGCTCTATTGAAACTTAATGGTTCTTAAGTTGAGACTGGAGTGCTGAATGGTAACACATAGCAACCGATCATGAAAACTGCTGGATTGCTGAACGGTAACACATGGCAACTGATTAAAACTGACGTAACTCCGCCCCGATCTATATGCGCATGCCCCAACCATAGTTTACTCTCCAGACTATAGACTCATTCGGTGACAGCCATTTTCTGTGTTGGCACCAGGCTCGCGCTAGTCGTGCTCAGGTAGTACGCGCGCACTCCCGGCACCTTTGAACAATAGGAATACCAACATGGGCGCGCCTCGTCTTTTAAAATGCGTGCAGCATGCGCGTAAGGGTGACACCACCGCAGTAAAAGCTTCTAATTCTGGTCGCCGGATTTTAGTACAGATAGATTTGAAATGTATAAATGCTGCACTTGCATTATAGGTCAATTTATGCAAACCAACAGAATTTCTTAACAAACCAACTTAGCAAGTTCTTCTTCAGAGGCTAAAACAGAAAATTTTCTGTTTTAGCCTCTGAAGAAGAACTTGCTAAGTTCGCAACGTCAGGCCACATTAATTTTAAGATTTATATATTTCAGGTCCATCCAGTCAGTAAGCAGTTTGCAGCAGTTTTACTTTTTTTCATCCCATAATGTAGTACTTCCCTGCACTTTGGGGTTAATTTGCCCGACCTTGCTTGCCAGTGAACAGTCACTGTCTGCTCAAATCCCTTTGCAACTGACTTACTTTACTCCCCGAAATTCTCATTAAAATGGGATTAGTTCCAGACTAGCTCACATTCTCCCAATAACTGGCTGAACAACCTTCAAGAAACTTATCACCCGAATCCCATGAAGAAGACAGCATATAAATAAGCTTAATTCCGTTCGATAAATGTAAAATTCCTTTAGAGGGATAGTGAAAAATTTCTCCCTCTTGCCCACATTCGGCCAGAACAAAAAATATCTATTGTTTTCTTGCATTTTTTAGCCTCATTGTACAGTGATACAGTGGGTTTGCTTATCTTTCGGTTCATAAATTTCTTAACAGTTTAGGGAGAATCTTCTGAGTATCAAAACTGCCTGCTACTTGACTAATAATAATACTCTGCTCTCTTCTCACTTTAACACTGCAGGAAAAAATGCAAACATTATTTTTGGGTCGTGGGATGAATGGAATTCAGCGGGGCGGCCACGTTCAAAGACACCCTGCTGAGGTCTCCCGCTAGTCCCACTGTCCCACAAGATTTACCCATGAAATTGAGCAGACAACTCCATTGGAACAATTGCATTGTTGTCTGAATTATTTCTCCAGCGGATTGTTATCGATCATGATCCCAGGAAAACAACATGGGTTTATGAGGGCGTCGTGGTTGCAAGGATAGGTCAGTTGTGGGCAAAGCATTTCAAGATGTGTGAGTTCCACAACGGATGGTGTTTTAGAACACCGCCAAAGCGCTCCGATTTCACAAGCTTACACCGGGGAATTGGGGCGTCACAGTAATTACTCCTAGTAGTTTTTATAAAATTGAATACCTATCTTGTTTGTTCCCGAAAAACAGAGGCAGAATTTCAGGTACATGTTTACAGTGTAAATACGGCTCACAAAACTACCGTTCATTGTTGATTCAGTCAACAGTCACACATGCTACACGCAGGTAACATGAGTCACAAGTAAGGAATTGGTGATGCTTCAACACTTTCTTATATTGTACAGTGTACGTCTTGAAATCAAGAATCTTTGTTACAGGGTCTCAAACGTGTCTCTCCATGCTTTAAGTACCATCAGTGCCAGTAATCATATTGATGATGTTCAAACTGGAAGTGGACTGCCAAATAAATTTGTCATACATGTACATGGTTTTATTTCTTCAACCCTTCGCAAGAGCCCACCAGAATGTTGCTCGCATTCCATCTTTTGTAAAAGTGTTCTGTCCTTGCTTTCTTCATCCCATCTTGGGCGTAATTGCCAAATTAGCTTTGTGTCCTGTGGCCTGGAAATCTGTAATTGATGTATTTTACAATGTCATTTGCCCTTTTCTCGTGTGGTTGCTCTTTTATTGTCAGGGAGGAAGGCCTCATGCCAAGTGATTTGGGTTTTTTCTTCTTCAGTTGGAAGGCAATCATTAAATTGCTCATACAGGAAGCTATAAACTTGGTCTTTTCTGGCCATTGTTTGCCTTTTCCTTGCTCTACATTTTTGTGTGTTGCCAAAGGGCACGCAGACTTTCTTAGGGAAGGGGGGTGTGGAGGTAATAAACTTTAATTGGATTGCCTCGGGCCTTGGGTATGATTGATGGCAAATTGAGAATCAAATATTTGCTCTTTTGAGGTTCATTTCCTTTGTCTGTCTGTCTGATTGTCTTGATGTTGGGCCTGCTGCTGTAAGGCAAAAGCAGTCCATGGACTTATTTCTTGTCTCTGAAAAATGGCACATTTATCATTCAGGTCTGTGCAGGACTCAACTCGTGTACACATCATGTAGGTAATTTATGATTTCTGCCTGAAAGGATTGATACATTGTACCTATTCATCCACCCTTTCGTTTCAAACATTGTATGTGATGTCAGCCATAAATCACATAATGCAGAAAAAATATGATAATTAGGTTTTAAATAAAAGGCTACCGTACATGCATAAATTTGGGGTCCAAAAGTGTGACATTTTGGTGCCCCCGTTATGCCTGACCTGTATGTAATGTGACGTGGAATAAAAAAAAAATTAACTTCAAACTATTTTGTTAAGCAGGTACAATTTGTACTTTGCATTACATAATCACTCTTGGAGTTAGAATTCATTAAAATTATAATGTGTTCTGAATTTACAAAATCTTATGTCAGATGTAACAGGGACACCCAAAAAAATTGGACCCAGATTTATTGAACGACCCGTGTATTTAATTCAAAGATGTTTTGATGCAACTAAAAATAATTTTCATATTTTGTTAAATTTCAGTTGATTTTTAAGGTGTTCTTAACCTGTCGAACTATTTTGCTTTGTTACAAATTGTTAGTACCAATGTACAGAGATTTTCAAACTGGTTATTTTTGTTCTCAATATTGATCTCTTTAATTAAGAGGGTTTTATCACAGACACTCTCTCTGAAACAACAATGCACATCTCGGGATAGAAACAGCGGTTAACCCTGTAAGGCTGTATGACCATCACCGACACTTGCCAATCAATATTACTCAATTTTCTAATTTCCTGAATTTTGTAACAGTTTTTGACCG